ATTTCTAAATACATACATATTATAGATAAATTACACCCAGACACAGAACACATGACCGTGCTAATCATACAATATTTGTCCTGGGTGGGAATCGAACCCGGCTTAGCAGTCAGGGTCACTGACCGCTAAACCAACAGAGTAATTCACAAGCTTTATAGTTCACAATTCATTTACCACATTGACCACAGCTTCATCGTGTCACTATTAGCCGACCAAACTATTCCCTCCCTTTTTTTACGTGTGAGAACCCCCTCGGGCCGTCAGCCCACCGGGGATTGCGGCGGGGCAGTGTATGGGAATCGAACCGACTAAAACCACACGGTATGCCACTCCGCGCCTGAGACAGGAGGAGTCCGGGAACAGCTGATATTAAGACATCTGGACCACTCCCAGCGCCTGCCCGGTACAGCACGAGCACCATCTTTAGGTGAATTCTCTATTTAGGTGGCCGGCACTACTCCCCCCACGCCACTTAATAATAATAATAAGCCATTATTTATCGTTAAAATGTTACACAATTGTTACATTACCTATGATAGCCACACTAGGCGCAGCCTGTATCGTGGCTATCAATCAATACGATTAACTAACGCCTAGGACTTAAACTATCCCAAAAGAACTCACATTTAAGTAACAAAAATAATAATAATAATATTGTACCACATTCACACAACGCCATCTAGTCCCAAACTAAGCAGAGCTTGTACTATGGGTACTAGACAACTGATATAAATAAATATATACTTTTTTTTTGTAAATACATACTTATTATACATAGAAACACCCAGACCAAATCAAACATTAAATGTTCATGCACACAAATGTTTGACTTGAGCGGGAATCGAACCCGCGACCTTTGGAATAGCAGTCCGTTACACAATAAAAATAAATCAATCATCTATCTATTTATCTAATAAATAGATAGATGAGTGTGAGTGAATGAGTGTTTGTGAGAGTGTGAGTAAGTACTTACACGCAAACATTAAATCAAACTGCCCATCTATCTATATCCAAAGGAAACATCCAACGTACATCTTTTAACTTTTATCAATTATTTTAAGACATTTCAATTTTTTTTAAATTTTGATATGTATCAAGGAACAATGACAAAGTACCTAAACCTAAACCAAAAATACCTAAATAAATTTTAGTAGAAAAAATAAAAAATAAAACAAAACTATTTTTCTCTTTTACTTAGATACAAATATTCTGTATTTAAAATACACAAATATAACTTGCATCTGTCATAGAATAGGGATACACATAGTTGGACACATATAGACTATATAATTATATATATATATATATATATATATACATTTTAAACTTGTAATAAATACCTACACCAATGCAAATAGCTTTATTTCCAGCGTCGGCGATGACTCTTGACATCGCCGACGCAACTTAACCGCTATTAATAGACAATTTCTTTATTCACGGCAATGTAATAAAGACTCAAGGCCAATCTCTTTTAATAGTCACCTATTTAAATCACTGTTTACTAATAGTATCAGCAAGTTTAATGGCGATTTACATCACTCGTGGAAAAAGACAATCGTTAATTACGTCATTATTTGGTCGACTAACTATTTTGGTGTAATCACAGAATAGATAACAGCCCCAGTACAGAACAACCACTCTGCAAATGCAGTCAAATAAATAGCGACTCTTAGTGAGACACAATAAAGCACAATTTAGATACCAAAGCGTTAATGTACCTATAGTTATATTTACATAGAAGTTGCTTTTCTTTCGCGAATACAGCGCCTGACCTGAGGCCGGCCGTCGAGGTGGATTTTAGAAGAAACACCAAAATTCACCGCCATTAAAATACAGCTAGCGCCTATATCCGACTCCGGAGATCTGAAGGGATTTTCTACCCTTTCACAATGGCTGTGGGGGTTAACTAGCTGTGATAAGGAATGAGGAGAGAGTGAAAAAACCATGAAATTCGTGTGACTTAAATTATATTGGATAGCCCCTTATCAAACCTAAACCTGACCTTGTTAACAGAACTTGTACCTAACTATACGATAATAATTCATAAATCTAACCACGTAAATGCGGGCAACATAAATTAGGATAACAAAAGCCAACCTTTAGACTGCATGTACCTATCTAATTATCTAAAGATATAGTGGCATTCCTTTACTTTTCGATGTCATTTGGAAGTCTGAAAACCATGAGGTTCAGGTCCTTATCATTATTTAAGCATTCGATAGCCATACAATACATACAATACCGTTGCCTTCATTTTAGTTCATAGTATTTTCCATTACATGTTTTAAAAAAAATGTTTATTTCACATCACCTCGATCATTATGGTGTCTGCGTTTGGCGTTGCGATTGGCTGAACTCTTCACTAATCTCCATCAAAAACTTACAGCTATCAAGTATAATATACAAATTAATAATTGCTAATTATAAGTTTTAACATTTAAATATCCTAACTAACTTAACATATAAACAACTTACAAATTAAGTAACATAAAATTCAAAATAACCTATTAATATTTTGATGAAATGAGTATTTCTTGCTTTAAACACTGAAAAACTTCCCTATTTTCATATTAGGGTGCTTCTACACGATGCAAGTAGCTTGCACATGTTGAGCACTTGCGTAGGTTATTTGCTTTGCAAAAAGTACTATGCGGTGCGCGAGGGCTTCTCGTGGGTTACTTGCGCAGGCACAGTACTGAACTGTGTCAAATATGCAACGAACAAAACGCATAATGCCGCAAAACCCGAGCGAGGAGCATGCACTTTAAATTTTTTTGCAAATTACCCGCGTCTTTACCCGTTCCAGCTACTTGCACCGTGTAGAAGCACCCTTAGTGATAGTAGTGCTGAAAAGAGCGATATCTAGGTACATTTCGACATACCGAGACCTTCTTATTTAAAGCGTGGACTGCGCCTGGCTTGGTGGAGCACAGTTCAGAATAGCTAAAACCATTTAAAAGAGAAATAATTTTAAATTTAAATATAAATGTGGACATGGTTACCGACTTACGGTGTTCGTAAATTTCTAAGATATACTTCTGGGAATTATTTTGCCCACCTTGGATTGAGATTTACAACCGCAAAATTACCTTTTGAGTAGGTAATTGACAAGCAATAAAGGTATAATACAAAAAATGTGTGTTGTTCAAAAACTAAGAAGTAAAAAATAGCATTCTATTAATAGAAATATACATATATTTTGCAAGGACAGAAATTAGGCAAACATGCGTACTATTGCCAATATTCTTAAAGATATATGTACCTACGAGTGCCTACCTTTGTCATTATTTTAAAATAAAACAGAATAATGTAAATTATATGTAACTAGCTGACCCGCGCAACTTCGTCTGCGTCTCTCAATAGTAATAAATTTTCTCCGTTTTTGAAACATTCTTCATTGGTGCTCCGCTCCTATTGGCCTTAGCGTGATGATATATAGCCTATAGCCTTCCTCGATAAATGGGCTATCTAACACTGAAAGAATTTTTCAAATCGGACCAGTAGTTCCTGAGATTAGCGCGTTCAAACAAACAAACAAACTCTTCAGCTTTATAATATTAGTATAGATGTAAATGAGTCCACGACCCCGAGACCTCCGACATCTTAGACTCGAAATTTTGTTTGCGATACCGTCTAAAACACTATCATGTATTTAAACATAACAGAATTGTTTCACGTGAGACTCTCTGGAGTCGATATTTTATGTCTGACTAGCTGGCCCGCGCAACTTCGTCTGCGTCTCTCAATAGTAATAAATTTTCTCCGTTTTTGAAACATTCTTCATTGGTGCTCCGCTCCTATTGGTCTTAGCGTGATGATTTATAGCCTATAGCCTTCCTCGATAAATGGGCTATATAACACTGAAAGAATTTTTCAAATCGGACCAGTAGTTCCTGAGATTAGCGCGTTCAAACAAACAAACAAACAAACAAACAAACAAACTCTTCAGCTTTATAATATTAGTATAGATGATTGCGGTCAGCATCGTGGTTGTATCTGGAACGAGTGTTCTGTCTGAACGGGTGCAGCGTTTCTTTTACAACCGTGTAGAAATTGGGGGACGATGCGTTTTTCACTTGGTCAGTCCACCTTGATGGTGTACAAGCGTACATTCGGCGTTTCCACACATAATCTCATCTTGATTTTTATACCAATTCCTGTTTTATTTCACTTGTTGTTTAGACGAGTCTATAATATATTTACATAAACCAGTTTTGATTATTATTGTGTAGTAAATACTTTACTGTACCTATTGCTTTATCTTTATCTCTCATCAATTAACACAATAACTGTGACAACGATAAACTTTATAAATTGGACAGATAGTCTTAGATAGTTTCACCTGGAAGGAACTTGGACTTAAAAGGAAATTTCAAAATGAGGTTGTAAGTCGCTACAGTTTGCTAAATCTTATATTGGTCACTGCTTCCCTTGCCATTTAAGACAAACACATTTAACTATGAGTAAATTAAAATTTACAATAGGTAATTGTTCCATGCATAATTTAGTTAAAGCCGGGACTTATGCACGAAAAGTTTCTACCTACTGTCATAGTATGCTTCTGAATCTTTTGATATCATTTCGTATTCTAACATCTAAAACTATTTTTTTATAGTTATAAAAATACATCATGCTCTTAGTGTAGACGTTTGTTTATCATGTGATAGTACTTTTTCTAGTCAAGAGACAAGTGAATACACAATAATTTAGACGAGTAGATGCCATAGACTTGGATGGAGACCATGATTTTGTGGCATTTATTATGTCAAGGACAGAAAAGTAATACCTACCCGCTTTAGTCAATTAACTTTTTGTGTCTACCTACAACACTGATTTTCATTTTAAAGCTTAGAAAATAAATTTAAAATTTTATTTAATAACTAATTAATTAAAAACGCACTCGGGATTAGTTTTGTAAAAATTGATCGTTACATAATTATGTTAGACATAGGTACATACGTTAATTGAATTGTTTTTCATTTCCAGAATGATTTAGAAACATGACTCTGTCAAATAGTCGTCAGCAATTCCTCCCGTATGAATCTCAAACACCAGAAGACCTAGGTTACGGAAGAAAGGGAGGGGTATTCGTTTCCTACTGCATTTGTACAAGCTTTATAATTTTCGCAATCATCATAGCAGTTATAGTTGGCGTAATGGTACACTTTATCACTTACTTCAAGGTAAGTTGTAGCTTATTTACTCGACTCACGTCATAGTTATTCCTTTTTATCAATTTTTTTAATAAAACATCCTCAATCGACTTTTTTTCAGTTAAATTTATCTAGTTTGCATGAAATGATCTCCGATTTCAAGTTCAATTGCTATCTATCAAAAATATACATTATCATATTTAATTAAAAGTTAGTAGTATGTTTTTATCAAACTTTAATTCCGCAGTTATTCACTATCGCCCGCCGTTTGCGGATGATACAATTGAAATATACCTACAGCTTAAAAGTGATTGTTTCCTAAAGTTCTACTAGGTACCTTTGATAGAAAAAGTTAAAACGTCAAAATGACAATCGATTTTGAGTAGTTTGTGTTATAAAAGTGAACACTGTTCATTTTTTATTATTTATTTACTCTCTAATTCTACAGAAAAATACCTTTTATCATAATGATAAAATAAACTTATAGGATAGTTTTCCTTATACTTAACTAATACCAAAGATTTATTGCCTGCATTTTACAACCTGTGATAATGTTTCTATACAAAATGTTAAGATTATTTATTATTTTAATTATATATAATGGAGTATTCATTAAAGGAGAAAAAGCTGTAAGTATGTGGATAATAAATATAATGACTATTTTAAAACAGATCTGTGATAAGTGTTGAGTAAGAAATTATATATTCATTTTTAAATTTAACTTACACTTAAGTACTTAATTTTATTAAATTCGTCCTTCAATAATGATTAATAAAAAAATATATACTTATCTGTAGCACTTTGCCTCAAATATAGCAATGAGTTCTCATAATTGCAAATTTTCTAACAATCATTTTGTTTTTAATTGATATAACTACCAGTCTAAACCCATCTTTAACTCATTCGTTTATTAATTTAAAGTCTTTACTCTATATCAATAATCTTATCAAATACTTCTATATCAGAGGGCATTTTTTTTTGGGCCTCTAAATATAATATCAGCAATATTTAAGTTCTAAGATTATAGGTATTTTTTAAGGTTGAATTAAAAATGAATTAATAGGAAAGTAAAGTACATAACTTTATTTATATGTGTTTAAATTTTAAGTAACTTACATTATCATTAAGTCTTGACATATCTTTATTTGAAAAATATTTTTTATGTTAGTAAAAATAGTGAATAAGCATACATCAATGTAGGTACCTATCAGTAAAAATCAAACACTTCTTTTTGCCCATGAAATGAATAGATATACATAGATATATTATACTACTTTAAAGTATTTTAAATATTATTGAAGCCTGTGTGGTATCAGTGTATGTTTTTATTTATCAATCTTTAAATCTATGTGCCCACTGAATAGAGTTATCATTCGGTAGAATTATGATTACCTTGCCTATAAAATATGAGTTACAAAAAATAACTGAAGTCATGATTAGAGAGAATTTTACTTTCTTGTTTCAGCTATCACAAAAAACTGTAGACTTTTGGGATGAAACTGAACCGTTTGGACAGACAGGAGGCCCATCGCCAGACCTTCGACTGCCTTCACATATTGTGCCAAGTTATTATAGATTAAAGCTAAAAACAGATCTAGAAAATGCAACGTTTTCTGGTGATGTATTTATTACTATACGGGCCAGTAGACAAGCCCGAGAAATAATATTGCATGCAAAAAATCTCAGTATTAATAGCAACGCTAAGCTCACAGAACAAATATATGAAAAAGTTGAGACTTTACGCACAAAGGTGAAACGAGACATTGCTGATGCTAACGTCACAATATCAGAAAATGTTACAACTGAAGCACCAACAACAACTCTGTCTAATGAGACAAATAGTACCATCACAGAAGTTCCCAATATAGACAACACAACGGACACTAATGTGACACAAGTCCCCACAACTACAACATCACAACCACCACCAAAACCTATAGATACCGAAATAACACATAGTGCTGTGCGTACCATCAAAATACTCTCTATAATAGAAGGAACCGGTGACCGGATAATAATCATGTTGGAGTCTCCTATGAAGAGTAATGTTGACTACATTCTGCAGCTGTCTTTTGAGGGTGTAATCTCTAACTCCTTGACTGGTTTCTATAAGAGCACTTATAAAAATACTCAAGGAGAAGTCAAGTAAGTGTTGATAATTTTATAAATAGATAGATGGGTATTGCACACCACAAATAGTATACTGTCACTGCTAAACAGGAGGTCACGGGTTTGATTCCCACCCAGAAAAAAAATGTGTGTGATGAGCACAATCGTTTGTACTGTGTCTGGGTGTAATTTATCTATATTATGTATGTATTTAGAAATATATAAGTATGTTTATCAGCAGTTTGGTTGCCATAGCACAGGCTCTACCTAGTTTGGGATCAGACAGCCGTGTGTGAGATGTGTGAGTTTATTATTATTATCATCAACAATATGTGTGCATTTTCGAATACATAAGTATGTTTATTTAGAAATAAGTGTTCCCAGTTTAGGTTACTAATATATGAGCGTTTAAAATGCTATGTGGTGACCTCTATTCAGCCCATGGGTGACATAAGAGCCGACTAAGGTAGCACGGCCAACATCACTACAAAGAGAAGGAAAACGGGACACAAACCCTATACCTACCATTCCCGTCAGTAGACCAAAACCTCCTTTCTAAGGAGAAGCCTATGTCGAGCAGTGGACTATTAAAGGCTGTTGATGTGATGATGATGATGGTGTGAATACGCCTCTGTTTATCTCTATGGGGACAAAAAACATGAGTGTGTGTGTATGTAGTTTTTGCATATAGTTCTTAGAGCAGTATCAAACCAGGAACTTCTAAATATCAAAGCTTATCTTCCAGGAACCTAGGGGTCACTCAGTTCGAGCCGACGTCGGCGCGGTCAGCGTTTCCTTGTTTTGACGAACCGGCGTTCAAGGCCAAGTTCGAGATTAGTATTGCTCACCTCCAGAACCTCACCGCACTTTCTAACATGAAGGTTGTGGCGCAGGAGCCCATGTATGTGACTTTTACTTTATTTAGTGAAGAAGTTCCGAGTGAATGAGGTTACGAAGACCCAAAACCCCCAATCCACCTATTTCATTAGGGGGTCTCTGGCAATGCACTAGTGATTCTTGATTTGTAATTGTCTATAGGCCGCGATAGTTACTCACCATCAGGTGTCTATTGGAGATTATGTGCCATTTATTTGAGTTTGGTTAGTAATTTTGACCACTAATCCAGAGGCCATAGGTTCGATATCCTAGAACAATTAATTGTGTGATGAGCACAGTCATTTGTTTAGTGTCTGGGTATAATTTATCCAAAATCATATGTGCGTTTAAAAACACTGATTACTAGGCAGAATGGTTCTGCCTAGGTTGAGATGAGCAGCCTTGCGTAAGGTGTGTCATTATTATTGTTATTTTGTAATAGACGAGTATCGTGTGAAGGCCAATTCTCGTAATAAAAGTTCGCTCACAATTCAGTTCTGAACAACTGTCGTAAAAGGTATTCTCTTAGCAAAGTATTACACGTTCTACGTTGACTGTAATATGATTATAATATCGTATTGTAACAGCAAATTGAATCGGTAATCTGTTAGTCTTAGTAATACTTTTCTATTTTTAACGAAAACAGCTTTTATGACAGTTGCGAGATCGGGCGTTGATCAGAACTGAATTTTATTACGAGAATGGGCCTTCTGAGAGTTCATATGATGATAAATTTGTTCATGAATGCGTTACGGTATTAAAAGAATTGTATTTCTTTTCAGCCCCGAATCAGCAGGCTGGCAATGGACCCACTTCGATCGCTCCGTCAGCATGTCTACTTACCTTGTCGCTTACGTAATATCAGACTTCAAATTCTTGGAAACTAGCTACACGAGCAAAGCCAACGTCACGATACCAGTTAAGGTGTGGACCAGACCAGAGCTCATCTCCAAGGCCAATTATGCTTTGAACATCACTCCGAAGCTGCTGACTTACTACGAAGAAGTTTTTGGACTACCCTATGAATTGGATAAAATGGATCTTATTGCTATTCCTGATTTCTCTAGTGGTGCTATGGAAAATTGGGGTCTGGTTACTTTTCGGTAAGCTACTTTTATAATCTAAAGCAGCGATTCCCAAACTATTTTGGGCAAGAGACCCCTTTTCTAAAATTAACTTCATACCTCAGACCTCCATAGCGTAATTACTGCACGCTTATAGACTTGTTGAGTTTTTAAAAGTACAAAAATGACACTTCCTACTAAAATAAACTACGGCTGGAGCCTGTATGCCGTCTGTATGGACAGACTGACTCAACTATGGTCCTTTCCTCAAAAGGCCTATCCAGACCCTGTACTGTACTCGCACAGTTTTATTTAACTTTGTTTACGGACTTAAAAAAAAAGACACCTCGGTGGTTTGTTTCGGCGTTTCTTACCAGAGGGAGTCTTAAGAAATACCGGCTCCTTCTAGCTATAAAGTCCGACTTGTAAAAATATCTGAAAAGATTTACTTACAGAAATAAATATCATTTATCATTTTATGATACGAAATCGCTCCTAGAAGCCTGTGAAAGCCCCAGGAGGTTTCTGGAAGGAGCTTGGTTGGCTCACCTAGCTAACCAGTCCTCGACGCAGAAAGGTTCACTCTTGAGAGTAAATGCAGAAAGCCCACAACCAATACCAATACCTACTAAAATATTAGTTATTCTTATAACAAGTTGGTACATGTAACACAACTAATACAGTATCTTGACAGTTTCAAATGAGAACTTGTGTTAATTAATAGGGGTCAATGTTTACACTCTGTCGACCCCCAAAATTAGTTTTTTGTTTCCGTTTATGTCGACCAATGGGAAACGACTTTGGGAAGCGCTGATCTAAACATTAGGAGAAATATGGTTGGGCAGCTATAATTATTACTATAAAGCTTTAATTCCACACAAATTACACTACAGATAACAAAATAATATACTTACTTAAAGTCTACTTTATACTACGTATTTTAAGATACTGTAAAATAATAAATTATATAGCTTATATATATATATATACATATATATAAATTTACGAAATTTGTGCGGACCCCCTGGGGGTAAAAGCCTCCTCCAAGGCATTCCAGACCTTCCTGTTTTTGGCTATGGATAGCCAATTTCGACCGATTTTACTATTTCATCCGCACAACGGGCGCCAGGTCGGCCGATTCTTCTTTTGCCTTCTAGCCATAACTATTTAACGGCTCTTAAAGTCTATCTGTCATCCTTATACCTGGCTACGTGCCCATCCCACTTCTATTTCCTAGCAAGCGAGTAGGTTAGCACATCTGGTTACCGCATTTGGTTACCATTTAATTTACCTTCTATATCTTGAGTTGCATTGGTGCTTCGGCGGTAGTTACTTACAATCGGATAACCCGATTATTATCTTCTGTTAAATACTTTCGTGAATAAGAAATCTGGTAGGTTTTAAAATACTGTTTACAGAACAAAAATATAATCATAATCAACTATGCATATCCAATGAAATTTCCTCGGATTGAGATGTAAATAAAGCTACATTCTTTACTATGTGTTATTGTTACTATCATTTCAAAATAATCTGTGGGCACTAGGCAAGACAGACAGTAAGTAACTATCGCGCCTAAGAACACCTGGAACTCAGAGACACAACTGTGCTGCCGCTCAAAATTTCTTTTAAGCTATTGCATAGCTTCTATCGCGGGCCTTGAGCCTGGAGACCGAATCCAGAAATTCCGTAACGAAAATAACCTAACACACAGCGGTGATACTTTTTAGTTTTGCCATCTATCGATGAATAGCAGAACTTTTAATGACTTTTTTGAAATATCACGCTTGTCTCTTTAGTTTAGCAACTCGCCTCTAGGTGGCATTGGTTGTATCGGCGTTACTGCGCATGCGTAATCCCCCTCTTCGCCCCGCAATCTGGTGACTCATGCCTGCTTAGAGTTTCGGCGTTAGGGCACCTCCTCTTTGTATTTACTTCATGGTAGGACTCTACGAAGCTCGCACGAATCTCCGCTACGAACGAGCTACTCCGAAATCGGACGAATACGTAATCAGCTGTTTGTGAGAAAGCATAAAGGTATTTATCATCTATGTACTACCGTGAATATCTGTACTCGTATAATTTGTGTACAAAGTGTTTTAAATATGAATAAACAAAGCATGCATCATGCATGCATATGCATTTATTAACGAAAAATAAATAAATAATTATAATTGCATAAGTTGATAAAAAATGCTATGCAATAGCTTTACCGCGGCAGTCCCCGAGTGTCACACGTCTTTTTTTTTTAGTATCATCAAATCAACATTAAATAAAAAAGTAAATAATAATATCCTGTGACGGATCAAGAATACGGAGTATCACCACCCCTATACATCCCGTGGGTGTCGTAAACCCGACTAAGGGAGCTAACTACGCAGGACAACAACACTGCAAAGAGAAGGAAAACTTCACACAAACCCTATACCAACCTGTCTGGCCAACGTGGTATAGTAGGCCTAAACCTCCTTTCTAAGGAAAGGCCTATGTTCTGCAATGGACTATTAAAGGCTGTTGATGATGAATAATAATAATAACTTTATACATCCCACACACGGCAGTCTGATCCCAAACTAGGGCGAGCCTGTGCTATGGTAAACAGAACAGACAGCTGATAAACTCACTCATATATTGCCAAAAACATATTAAACCTAGAAAAATTACGAGTACAACCATACACAGAACAAATGATCTTGCTCATAACAAAATTATTTGTCCTGGATTGGAATTGAACCCACCTCCAGCTTAGCAATCGGAGTCATTAACCACTAGAGCAACATGTCAGTAAAATGATTTGACAGTAGCAAGGTATGACGTCACTCCTTAGTATTTCATACAATACAATGTACCGTGTTTTGAAGTTTAATTAAACGGTACTGATTTGATTTTAGAATCATCTATTCCATTCTAAGATTCATGATAATTAGTTAAATATTTCATTGAGTTACATTCATTAACAATATCGTGACGCAATTTGTAACCGTTAATAGGTATTTTATAATAGATAAAATATATTTTATCTTTATATACATATAATTATTAATGTCATTAGGTATTAAGGAATACTTAAACAAGAACTCACGTGACTTGATTTAATTATGGCCTGATCGTAATGTTCAAAAAATGGTCGGTTTTATGACTTTTTAATTGATTAAAAACTAACACAATATATGTATCGTGGTTTAAAATACAGTAATAATAACTGATTTGAGACTTATAGAGTTATATGACTCTTAAAAGTACTATCATATAATCATGTAACATGTAATGCAGTGTGGCGACCCGTCGCCACACACAAGTGACTCTGCGACTCTCGACTTTATTTCAATCAATTTTTGAATTGATTGAAATAAAGTCCAATACAACGAGTCAAAAGCAAAATTGTATACATTCGACTCTGGTTTTGCTTGCTTTGCTTTTGTGAAGAGAAGAAACCCTTACCCCCCTCAGAGAGACGACGCTGCTGTTCGACGAGGCGGAGAGCGTCCCGCGCGACAAACAGAACGTGGCCATCGACGTGGCGCACGAGCTCGCGCACCAGTGGTTCGGCAACCTCGTCACCATGCGCTGGTGGACCGACCTCTGGCTCAACGAGGGCTTCGCCACCTACATCGAGTACGTCGGCGTCGATCGTGTACGTTACATCTACCCACTAAAGTCCAAAATATACCATCGTTCTAGTTTTTATCCCTTGGTTTTCAGCCCTTAAATTTAAATCACCAACCAATTTTACTTACCAACTTAACCACCAATTTTATTTAGAAGTAGAATTATAAAAATCTGTTCACAAATCGAGCGAAAAGTGTTTAAAATACACGCAAAATAAAAAAGATCAGTTCAGTTGAGACAACAGTTTTTGAACTCGATTGATAAACATATTAAAAGATCAACAAAATATTACTTTTCCCCGTAATAACGTAAAGACCAAACAAACTGACATTCGCATTCATAATATTAATGTTTTTCCTGTTTACAGATCGCTCCAGAATGGGACATGTTCGAATCTTTCTCCCGTGACAAAATGGACTTGCTGCGTTCAGATGCTTTAAAGAACACATCTCCAGTTTCGCGGCAGGTGCTCGACGCCTCGGAGATATCACAGAAGTTCGACGAAATATCTTACACCAAAGGCGCCAATTTGATCAGGATGTTGAACCATACCATCAGTGAGGAGATGTTCCACAAGGGACTGGTCATTTATTTGAATGATTGGTAAGTTCTTCTTCTAAAAAAGATAACTCCCGCACTAGGAATATCTCCTGAGTAGCAGTTACATACATTAATGAAACGGACACAAAGAACACCCAGACTGAGAATAACAATTTGTGGATCACACTAAATGTTGTCCCATGTGGGGATCGAACCCACAACACCCAGAGAAGTAGGAAGAGGCAATGTGACCACTTAAACCACGACGCCATCCCTGCAGTCACTTTTATTTTTTTTAATTCATCTATACATCTGTGAAATGTCTATATGTTATACAATCTATGAAAAGGGACGGAAGTGTGTGTAAGGGACGGAAGTTGATTTGACTAATGAGCGTGCGCAGTACTAGAGTTAGCCGTCACATGGTACGTGAGACGTTAGATGTTACACATCGCGGCTGCTGTAACGCTCGGTCGTTTCTTTAATATTTTACTCTGTTGGTATTTTAATTGCTCTTCCAATATCATGTATAATAAGTTTTAATTTCAGAAGTGAATCAAGTCAGTAATATAAAATTAACAATACTAGTTAGTGATTAAAAAGGCTACATTTTGTTCTCAAATAATTTTTCGCCGTCTCGCCACGCCCGCTGTCTGCCCCAACCATAAGAGTGTATTGTGTACTTTATACCTATTTTTTTTTTTTTATTTAGCTATATAAAAATATTTAAAAATTATAAGAAATTGAGTTATCTCCCTTTAAACTTTATATACAGAGAAGATCCACTAAAAGAATCTCAATGCCTTGTTTAGGAAGTACTTAAATGCCGAAGAGACAGACTTATGGGAGTCCATGTCAAAAGCGACAAAATCAGATCCGGCTCTCAAAGACCTGTCGGTGGTGGACTTTATGAAGACCTGGACGAAGCAGGCCGGCTACCCTGTTGTTAACGTCAACAGGAATTATGAAAATGGAAATATTGAATTTGAACAGGTATGTACAGTCTTCTCTCGTTGTATGGCTGACAACTTTGTTGTTTTAGGAGTGTATCCCATTGAGTCTCTCATATCTAAAGTATTATAGTCTACTAGAAAGAAAATAGTGCCCCATCGATCATGCCCCGCGCCCTGACCAATCAGGTTCCAAGCTTTGGTAAAAGCGATAATTTCTTGAAACCTGATTGGTCAGGATGCGGGGCTTGATCGATGCGTCACTATTTTCTCAACGCGAATGAACTATAGGTAGCGAGGAAGCAGAGATTTGATTACTTCGTAGCTTCGTGAGTTTGATACTTGTTTGGTAGAAATATTTATACCTTTCCACGGCCTACCCAAATGTCTTGTCACAAGTATTTCTATGAAAACCTCCTCTCTAAGGAGAGGCCTGTGTCCAACAGTGGGCTACTAATCGCTGTCGATTAATAGAGATAGGATTCTTAAAGTAATTTGGCTATGGGTCCTGCTTTATCAGTTCATTTTGGAAAATAGGTCTCTTGCCAAAATATCCCTATCCCTAATCTAAACAGTATACGTTGGTTAATTGGCTGCTAACCCAGTGGTCGTGGGATCTAAACCGCCAACAGGAAGTCTTAATAATTTCCGATCATCCTAGCGCCTGTTTACGACGGCTACGGAGCCGTACCAGAAGATGGTGGACCAGCTGTGGCACATCCCGCTGAGCTACGCCGTGGTGGACGCGCCGGGGCCCTGGAGCAGCGCGCCCCAGGCCTGGCTGCGCTCGCGCCTCGCCGTCATCAACGTCAACATCACCGCCACACAAGCCTTCTACGTCAACGTTGGCGCTATCGGTGAGAATACCCACCCTACATAAACAGTGAAACCAGATTAAATGAACCTAGGCACCTCTCTACTACTGATCTTTAGAAGGTCTAAACACTTTTGCATCGAAATAGGTCAGAAATTAATAAAAATTTGTTCAAAATTAAGTTTCTACTCTCGATCAAATAAAATAAAATAAATAAATTATGGTATACTAGTAGTAGTTTCGAAACCAGTCAAAGAATAATGTATCTTCTTTCGATAAAAGAATAATGTATCTTCTTTCGATAAAAAAATAATGTTTATTCTTTCAAAAAGCGTGAATAGAATACATTTTAATGCATAAGAATCAATTTAGTGTCCACTTCCACACGATGAAAATAATATTAAATGAAAGTCATGTGTATGTTTGTGTTAACCTTGTCTAGTGTAGTGTCGTTTCGATTTTAATTACGAGTTTCGAAAAAAATACCATTCTTTTATCAAAACCGGTTGCGAAAGTTTTATTTTTATTTTTATTTGAAAACCGGTTTCGAAATAAAATCCCATTACAGTCTACGTTGGATACATCCGAATTGAATTTTTTTATGAATTTTTATTAGCAGCAATGACTTGCCGCTATTGACTATTTTCACCGCATATTTTCAATAACAATTTATTTGTAGGTAAGGTATATCATATTTCTTTTTAAAAATATGATATACCTTAAGTTTCATCTTCACCTGATGTTAAGTTGCCACCGCCGCCATGTTTATTTGCAATTCAAAAGTATCAATGTGTTGTCGTCTCTGACCCCTCCCCTCCCCCCCCCCCTAAGAATTAGGGTAAGGAATTTGAGGCTCCGGTAACCATACACTTAAAGAAAGGCATATATCACTCCGGTTGATACGACCTTCATGACTCTCTTTATAATAATAATACGACCAAATGGCGTAGTGGTTTGTGTAACGCAAAATAAAAAAAAAAAAAAAAGGTAAAGATAAAAATTAATAATTAATAATTAATTTGTAAAGGTCGCGGGTTCGATTCCCGCTCAAGTCAAACATTTGTGTGTGAACATTTAATGTTTGATTTGGTCTGGGTGTTTCTATGTATAATAAGTATGTATTTACAAAACAAAACTATAAATGTATTTATATCATTAAAATATTATTATTACATAATAATATATTTATTTGTCAGAATATGGGTGTACAGAGTTGTTAGTAGGTACGTTTTAGTAGCTAGCCACATTCTACCATTATCTGGTGAACAAAATGTTAGTATAGTGAATTTACTGTTTTTTTTTTACAATTTAATCATGACTTATTTAGTAATATAGTATTAATTATTTATAACATTTGACTTGACCAGGCTACTATCGCGTGAACTACGACCAAACGAACTGGCGGCTCCTGAGCGAAGCACTCCAGTCCGGCCATATTAAGTCTCCCATCACCAAGTCGCAGCTCATCGACGACGCCTTCAACCTCGCCAAGGTGGGGCAGCTCAACTACAGCTACGCCCTGGGCCTCACCACCTGCGTCAGGAATGGGGAGAACTCTAAGATGGTGTGGGACCAGCTGCTCAACAACATGGCCTTCCTCAAGCACAACTTGAAGCCTACTTCCGGATATTTATATTTCCAGGTACATTTTTATGTAGTGTAATAGTGGTAGCATATGCGACTGCTGTGCTGAGGTCTCGGGTTCGATTCCCAGGTCGGACTAAATGTTTGTATGATCAACAAATATTTGTTTCGAAGTTTGGGTGTTTTCTGCGTATAATATGTATGTATATAAGTATTCTATCAGTCAATCTAGCTTTCATAGCACAAGTTTTGCTTAGTTTGAAACTAGATGGCGTTGTGCGTTAGATGTCAGATAATATTATTATTACATCCTAAGCAAGAGCTCATCATTGTCTGAGCCATATAATATAATGTATTTAAAAGTATTCTATCAGTCAATCTAGCTTTCATTGCTTAGTTTGAAACTAGATGGCGTTGTGTGTCAGATGTCAGAGAATATTATTACTTCCTAATCAAGAGCTTATCATTGTCTGAGCCATATAATGATGTCGCGCATGATCTTTCCTCTGCTCTTCTCCTTTCAAGCATTTAGTAATCTTCTTCACATAGTTTTATCGTATAGGATGGGTCATAAATGACTGCACGGATGGCGTAGTGATTGAAGCGGTCGGCACGCCGCTTTCTACTATTTTGAGTGTTCTGGGTTCGATTCCCACCATGGGACGACACTTTTTGTGATCCACAAATTGTCGTTCTGAGTCTGTGTGTTCTTTGTGTCCGTTTCATATATGTTTGTAAAATCCCCGCGACACAGGATATAATAATATTCCTAGTGCGGGAGTTGTCTTTTATAAACAATAACAATAAAAAAAATACCTGCAACTCAAAAGTCACATGTGCCACCTTTTGAGTGCTGCTCCCCTTCCCCCCTTACCCCTAAAATAGGGGGAGGTTGGGCTCCGGTTACCTCTCTCACTCTGTGAAAAGCAACTAAAGATTTGCTTAACACCGTGTAGTGAAACCACTGTTGCTTGTTCAGATACTACTTCTTTTGTTAGTAAGTTGTGATAGTATTTATACTCTAATACTAGGTTGTACCTGCGACTTCGTTCGCCTGGAATTTGAAAAGCGCTCTCTTTTTGGTGAGATTCCCGGACCGGGCAAAATTTTAAAGGGTTTTCTGAGAGAAAAAATTGCCTATGTTACTTCTTATATAGACAGCTATCTGGTGGTAAAATATTATTAAAATCTGTCCAGCCGCTTAGAAGATTATACTTAACAAACAAACAGACAGACAGACAAAAAAAACTGGTTTTAGGCATAGGTATCGTTCAAATAACCGTGTGAGAATGAAAAAAACCTATTGTTTTGACATTACAAACAGACACTTCAATTTTTATTTATTTGTATAGATTAGTCGTGTGTGATATACACATTAAAACAGAGATTTAGCTGGCTAGTAAAACTATTGCGGCAATGATAATTACAATAATAAATAAGGAAATGATTTTGGGTCGCTATTAATTAGTTGACATACGTATTTGTAACAAAACAAGTTGCTTTATAATAATTATGTAACAACCAGTTTACTATGAGGCTGTAATATCACTCCTCTCGCGATTGCCCATTTGTACCGAAGCAGGGATCTCACACGCCTAATAATCATATCACCTAATCCCTATAAAATAGGAATTAAGGGGTAAATACTGCATAAAAAAGTGTGTGTGTGTGTGTGTGCAATTCAGATACGGCAGAATTGAAACTGCCGAAAAGTTTTTATCAGAAGAACCCTATCAAAATTTTGCCCGGCTCGGGAATCGAACCCACTAAGTCAGCGTTTTTTTTTAAATTCCACACGAACGAAGTCTCGGGTAACAGCTAGTATTACATAAAAAGATAAAAATATTCACACTTTCAAAATATTATATTAAAAATAATGTGTAATGTATTCTATCTCATTCTCTCGCCCACATAATCCTATACATTTGTGTTTGTTTCTTTATCGTGACGCGTTTTCGTTTCATCGAGTTTGAAATCACAACGATTATAAAGAATTTTCACTTCAAAGCTTTTGTACATACATAAAATAGATTAATTCAAATAGACATTTAATATGTCTATTTGTATTTAAATGTTATTCGTACGCAGCACAACAGCACTGCAAAGAGAAGGAAAACTTGACACAAACAACCTTTATCAACCTGTCTGGCGAGCGTGATATTGTATTCCAAAACCTCCTTTCTAAGGAGAGGCCTGTGTCCAGCACTGGTTCACACTTAATTCGCCTTCGAATCCATCATTATTTTTACTCACACTTTATCGTTCTTCGTATTATTATTTTACAGGACTACATGAAAATAATCTTAGCTAAACAACTAGAGATCGTGAACTACGGTCTGGACAAGCCCAAAGACGACAACGACGCCTTCCTCATCGAGAACTTGGTGATGTGGGAGTGTTACGTGGAGTCGCCCAGGTGTCTCAAGTGGGCCAGGGAACAGTTCGACAACTGGACACAGCAAGCCGATGTTAATAATAACCCGTGAGTATTTTATTTTTTATTTATTTTTCAATGTTTTACTTCACTTTAACAACTATTCCATATTTTTTCTTTATCTTTTACGCTTTTTACTTTAATAACTGACATAACTGGCATATTAAAACAATATTGTAGTAGGTTTAAATCATTCAATTTTATCTATCTGTTAATTTAAAAAGAGGGGCCCTGAGTTTGTTCGCCCTTTCTTTTCATTTCCAAAGTTCGGTTGTAGATCGGCACATAAGAGATTTTTGATACGTATATATTTATTTTGCTAAATATTTGACAAAACAGAGGGTTGCTATTGTGTGTGTTAATCTGTAACTATTATATAGTTTTTGAATTTTTTATTCTTTGACAATACCAATTTCCCAAGATTACAGATTAAGTTAAAGAGCCCTATGTCCAGCAGTGGACTTTTAAGGGTTGTTGATGATCATTATGACTATTATTAGCTCGGTAGTTTTGTTTTCTACAAATATGTGATAAAATTTAGAATATCTCATTGTTACAGAATCCCGAGTTATCTCCGTCCTCTAGTATACAACATGGCATTAAGACACGGCGGTCGTGCTGAGTTTGATTTCCTATGGAAGGTGTTCATGAATTCCACGGACCCCACCGTCAAGAGCCTGATCATCAATAACCTGCCCAGTGTTAGAGATGAATCTCTTATACAAATGTAAGTTGTAGTAATATGAAGTATATATTAACAATAAAATAGCAAATAATAATAATGCGATCACACATCTCACACACGGCCGCCTGATTCCAAACTAGGCAGAGCCTGTACTACGGTAACCAGACCGCTGATAAACGTACTTATATATTTTTAAATACATACATATTATAGATAAATTACACCCAAACACAACAAATGACCGTGCTCATCACACAATATTTGTCCTGGCTGGGAATCAAACCCACGACCTCCGGCTTAACTGTCAGGGTCAGTAATCACTAGCCCAACAGACCCGTCAATCCAGGTTATTAGCATCAGCCGGAGAGACAGGTACACTATAAGCATCCACAAATGTGTTAGGGCACTTATATTTCAGAGTTATCGAAACTATCACAAATCAAATTAATCTGCAAGTACACACATATTATAGGTAATAGTTTGAACGCGAATATTTAGAAATCATTGTCCGTGTAGTGACAGATTAAGAATACCGAATATCACTATGTGACTCTGAGTTGCATATGTCCTTGGAAGGCAGTGGTCATTTACATGCAGCTATACCCTTAAATAGTCTGTCCGTATGTGAGTGAGAAGTGAAGGTGTGACATGTGGGCGGCAGGTTGCTGGAGAAGAGCATCTCTGAGATCCCGAAGCAGTACGCGGTGGCGGCCTGGAGCGTCGAGGGGCCGCTCGGCACGCGCGTGGCGCAGGACTTCCTCCTCAAGCACTTCGACCTGCTCCACGCCACCTTCAGCGACATGGACGCCTTCATGTTCCCCGCCGTCGTCAGCGGCGCCTTCGGCCTCATCACCACCGACGACGAGCTCGCCAAGGTAACCCTCTCTGCTGCTCCCAGCGCTAGCTTATTCATCATACATAATAAAAGGCCGGTAACGCGCTTGTGACTTGCAGTCAGGTCAAGTCGAGTCATGAGACCTGCAGGCGTTCATGGGCGACGGTAGACGTTTTCCATCAGGTGACCCGTCTGCTCGTTTGTCCCCTCTACCATAAAACAAATAAGTAGGAAAAACGGAAATCGTAACTCTAAAGCATTTAAAATATCCGTAATTGTAGAGGAAGTCAATCAATCATGGAGGTGTCAAGTCAATCCAACATAAAGAGAGAATCCTCCAACCAGGCGAGGTGAATAAAGATGAGGTATACTTCTGAGGTGTATATCTTATCGTCACAAGTTTATCAGTTATTAAAAGTACAAAGATGTATAACCACCCGCGGCCACACTCAGGGCGGCATGAGGCTGTGATAGGCGGGCCTCCGCCGCCCGGTTCGCCGGCGGCGGATCGGGTCCGAGTGGAGGTCGTCCTCCCGGGCCCTCTCCGCCGCCTCCTTCCGCGAGATTACTACCTCGCAGAAGGTTGCGACCGCGGTAAAACAACTGTCGCTACCGGCCATGGAGCGTACTACGGCCGGTAGCGAGAGATCCACTCCGATGACTGCAGTGAGGGCCCGGCGCTGCGTCGCCCATGCGGGGCAGACCGCCAGCGTGTGCTGAGCCGAGTCCTCACTGCAGTCGCAGTGGTGGCAGGCGGGACTCAGTTCCCTCCTAGCGACCGAGTGCAGGTACTTCCCGAAGCAACCGTGCCCGGAAAGCACCTGCGTCAGCCGGAAGGAAAGGGTCCCGTGCTGCCGCCCTGCCCACTCGGCGATGACCGGCTGGAGAGCCTCCACGGCGGCGAAGCCAGCGCGTGGAGTCTCCAGCCGGAACGACCAACGAGCCATCGTGGCTCGGCGAGCGGCTTCGCGCCACTCGAGCACATCCTCGGGCGGAGGGCGAAATCCGCTCTCCGCCCGGGAGTCAGCCACTCGCCGATAAACTTCGGCGAGCACTTCCGCCTCCAAATCCCACGGGGGAGTTCCGGCCAACGCGCATGCCACCTCCGTAGAAACGGTGCGGTAACCGCGTATGGCTCTGACCGCCATTACCCTCTGAGGGCGCCAGAGGCGTACCCTATTCTGGGCGGTCAGAGCCGCCGCCCACACCGGTGCACCGTACAGTGCCATTGACCGGACAACCCCCGTGTACAGCCGTCTTGTCGCGACGCTGGGTCCACCCATATTGGGCAAGAGTCGCCCTAGGGCAGACGCAGCGCCGACCAGCTTTGGAGCAAGCTGTCGGAAGTGCTCGTCGAAGAGCCACCTCCCGTCGAGGATCAGGCCCAGATATTTCATCTGGGCCCGAACCGGTACGAGGACCGAGTTGACCACGATTGAGGCGCCAGGGGGTGGACCACGACGGGGCCCATGAAATAACAGGGCCTCCGTCTTATCTAGGGCCACCCGTAAGCCCAGCGCCTCAATGCGCCCGACCACCAGGGAGACTCCCCCTGTGGCCAGGCGCGCCGCCTCTTGGAAGTTTGCCCCCCGGGCTGTCACCAGGGTATCGTCTGCGTAACAGATTACACCCAGCCCAGGGGGGAAATCGGCGCGAAGGGCCCAGTCGTACCCTATGTTCCACAAGAGGGGTCCAAGAACAGACCCCTGTGGAACACCGCACGACATGGGCCGACTCCTCAAATTACCTTCTCGGTCCTCGTACACGACGGTACGCTCCTCTAAATAGTCTGCCACCAGCCGCCTCAGGTACTTTGGCACCCCATGATAGTGGAGTGCTTCCCTGATGCAGCTGAATGGCAGACTATTGAATGCGTTGGCGATGTCAGGCCGTCCCGGCTTCCTCAATAGGACCAGCTTCCCGCTCTTCCAGCACTCAGGGAAGCGTCCCGACGCCAAGCTAGCGTCGAACACCTCCCCGAGGCGGTCTGCCATGTGGTTGAGGGCCAGGGCCAGCACTCGGGCCGGTACCCCGTCTGGCCCAGGGGCGGTGTTCTTGGAACGGATCCTTTGAACAGCCGCCCCTACCTCCGAATCCCGGACGGGCGGAACATTATCCTCCCCGTGCTCCCCGTCGTCTCCGGCCAGGGAGGCCATCGACGGGGGAGTGTGTTCCGCTCGTTGTGGGAAAAGGCCCTCAACCACTTCTCGCAGGAAGCTGGGCTGGAGAGTCTCCGTAAGGGGGGGGCCCGACGCGCGGAGCTTTTGTCGCACCGCGCGGTAAGGGCGACCCCAGGGGTCACGATTAAGACCCTCCAGCATCTCCTGTCTCTTTTCTTCTTTGGCGCGGCTAATGGCCAGCTTCAGAGTTTTCCGCGCCCGTCGGTACTCCTCATGAAGCCGGTCCTCCTCACCGTCTCCACGGTGACGCCGCCGACTGCGTGTGTAGGACCTCCGGGCACGTGTACAGGCCGCACGGAGGTCCGCCAGCTCCTGGGACCACCAGTAGACCTCCTTCCTTGGAGGCCGACGACCTCGAATGCGGGGCATGGCCGCATCGCATATATGCGTAATCGCATCGCGAAAGCGACCAGCCCCCACGTCGACCTCCTCGGTCGGAGCCTGAGTAGACAGCCACGAGTGAATTATGGCTGCCTCCTCTAGTAGGTCCCGGTTCAGTTTGGCAACAGCCCACCGCGGAAAGCGGGATAAACGCCGCGCCACGTGACCCCTACTGGAGTCCTGGGTCCGGGAGAGCTCAAATCGGATATACAGGAGATCCGAGAGCGTCTCAACCTCTTCCAGGACACGCCAGTTCCTTACTCACTCCTCTACGGCCTCGCCCCTTGCGTCCGTCCTGGGGGAACCCCACGCAATGGACTTTGCGTTGAAGTCCCCCAGCACAAGGACGTGCCCAGACGCTAGTCGCCGTATCGAGGTCTCCAAGCTGGTTAGGAAAACCTCGAAGTCGTTCAAACTCCGGTTGGGGGAGAAATAAACACCATATATGGTGATCCCCCCCCACTCGACGGCAACATATCCAGTGCCCTTGTCTCTTAGCGACAAGGGCGGGGAATGAGCCGTCGTGGAACCGACGACTGCCACGGAGCCGTCCCAGTCACCCATCCAGTTTGGACGGGGAGGGACAGAATAGGGCTCCGCGACTACGGCAACACCTATCGACCACTGTGCCATGGTTTGCAGGAAGAGATCCTGCGCCGCGGCACAGTGGTTCAGGTTCGTCTGGACCAGGAGGTTGGAGACTTGATCCATTACTGGATCGTCTCTACAACCTCCTCCATGGGCGACGACGACGACGCACGTACTACATCGGAGGCAGCCTGGGTCGACTGGCTAGCCCCTGACGTCTACCGAGAACTGCGGGGAGGCTTGCAGCCTCTCTGCCCCATCTGGTGATTGGCGGGCTTATTGCACGCCAATCACACGCTGGGCAGTGAGGGGCGGCAGAGCATTCTGCCGCCCCTCACGCATTCGGTTGACCGCAGCGGAAACACAGTCCGCCGCAGTCAAAACAACTGTCGCACTTGACGCGCGTGTGTCCCGTGGCCAGGCATTTAAAACACCTCATCGGTCTCGCCGCCAGGACTGTGATCCTGGCGCTCACGAAACCGATGAGCAGCCTGCCGGCGTCGGCCAATACTTTGGCCGACGCTACGGGACAGCTGACCCACACGGCGCCAGGCCCTCCTGGACCGGGGCGGATGGTGCCGACCCTGACGTTGTCCGCGCTGCACCCCGTCTTCTCCCGGATTACAGCGCGGACATCTTCGGCCGTCGGACATCGTCGGCTCGTTGGTGAGGCTGTCCCGGGCCTTTTTGAAGACGGCCGCATAGGACAGCCCGCCGTCAGCCGCCTCCGGGGACACGGTCACAACTACAGCCGCGGTTTTGGGCGGCTGCAGCTTCCGCGGCCTCTTTGCAGAGGCCGTTGCCACCGGTGGCGAAGGCTGGGCTTGGGCTGCTTTTTTGGCAGCCCTTTTGGCCCGCCTTCGGGACTTCTTGGAACCCCTCGCCTCCTGCCAACCCTCGTTGGAGGGGGCAGGTGCGGAGGGGCCCGGCAGGGGTGTAGGAGTGGGGAGCGGAGGGAATGCCACTCCGCTCCTCGACGCCGTTTTAGGCCCCGTCTTGGCCGGCGCCTGGGGAGGTGCCTTGGCCGGCGCCTTAGCCGGTGCCTTGGCCGGCGCCTGGGCCGGTGCCTTGGCCCCCCTCCTCGGCTTTTGTGGAGCCGATGGAGTAGGGGCAGACGCCGACGCGAGCGGGGGGCGCATAATCGGCGCAGGGGGCAGTCTCGCCTCCAGGCCAGCCAGGCGTCCGTCCAGCATATTCCCAACTGCGATGAGGATTTCTCGCAGTTGGGAGTCAAATGCCCCTGAGTTGGTGGTAGGGGCAGGCTGGGACGCGGACGGGGCTTCCCGCTCGGGGAGGTTCGCCTGGAAGCGGGCGAACTGAGCGCTCAGCTCGTTCACCCGCTCCGTCAGCCTCTCGTTGGCCACCTGTAGGCGCGAGACGTCGCCCACTAGGCCCTCCACGACCTCCGACAAAGCGGAGGAGGAGTCCTTGAGGGCCCTCACAAATGAGCCCTTAAGGTTCACGGACTTGGTGGCCACCTTGTGGATGACGGCCACCGCCGCTTTCGCCCTCTCCTGCACGGACACGGGAGCCTGGGGGGCATTTCCCCCCACCGGCTCCCGAACCTTGAGCAGGAGATCCGCGATCTCCTCCTCCGCTACGGCCTCCCCGTCCACCCGTACACTTCTGTACGACTCCGCGTTGGAGAACGCGGAGCCTGACGGGGTCGAGACCGAGGCCGAGGCCGGTTTACGTTGCCTCCCTCGGCGGCTGCTTGCCACCTTTGGTGGCATCATCTCCTGGGACGTGTCGGTTTCCACGTCCCCTGAGCGTCCGCGTTTTCGGCTGTCGCTACGATGTTCCGCTTCCATGGCCTCCGCGCCATCCGACGAAGCGGCGGATCCGGAACGCAGCCGATCTGATGCTCTTCGGCTCCCAGAGACCAGCGTTAGACTGACTTCTGGGAGCCCCACCGAGATAGGCGTTCCCGACGCCACCTCACCCTCAGTGGACGACCCATCCACTCCACTGTTCCTCTTCTTCTTCCTCGTTGCCGTGTCCGTTTGACTTGCCTTTTTTGTTTTGGTTGGTTTTCCGATCGTTTTTCTTAAATTTTGGTTATCATTATCCATAATAAATCCCACGAGTGGGGGAGAACTAAAGGTCCACCCGGGCAGAGATCCCCCATTACCCGGGCAAGCGTAAGTTTTTAACCCAACCGAGGGGTCCGCAGGTACCTCGGCTTGGAGTGCGCTCGAGACTGAACTTCCCATCAGCCATGCATCCCCTGGCCACGCACCAGAACACGGGATTCGGGGAATGTTTTAGAGAGGTTATCTTCCTCGCGGTCCGGGCGGTTAAGCCAAGACCCTCGCCCCCGATCAGAGCCGCGAGACTTAACCACAGCGCTCTTCTCGGGATTACGATATGCCGACGGTTGACAGGGAGACTACGTCCCCCTGCCTGCTCGGTGGTAGTGTGAGTACACGCCGAGCCCGTCCTCCTTTCTCCACCGCTGTCAGCGGAGAAACTGTGGCCCCTACAGGGCCCCGCCATCAGGTTTTTTACCGAGGTTTCCTCCTCCATGCTCCGAAGAGCGAAGAGCCAGCAGGGCAACCGGCAGACACGCCCACCCTGCTGGACCAGGCCTTGCCCGAGAGCCGATGAACGGCCTCCTCTTCTGCTAGAATATTGGCCGCTGGCGATAATCCTCTCCTCCAAGAGGACAAGGAGGAAACAGTACCATCGCCAGCGTTTCCAGGGTGCACCACGGGGAGGTTTTCTAGCCTAGCACCCCAAACCCTATACCAACCCGTCTGGCCAGCGTGGTGTACTAGGCCAAAACGTCCATTCTAAGGAGAGGCCTATGTCCAGCAGTGGACTAGTAAAAGCTGTTGATGATGATGATTTATAACACTTCGTCAAAACAATGAAACTTTGTACACGTATACTTCTTTTTGGGGATGATTGTATTATTATAAGTATTTTTTTTTACTTTTCATTTCTTCTTATTTCTAAAAAATAAATAAATTTTGTATTCTTTGCAGTTAAAATCCTTCGCTCTTAAACACAAACAAAAATTACTACCAATGTCCCAAGTACTACAGAAGCTGGTGGACACGGCGACCTTCAGAATCGCCTGGATCAAGAAACACGCGCCCGGCATCACCAGGTGGTTCCAGGACTTTGTCAACGGTATGTGATAATTATTAACCCCGATGCACAAAAAGAGTAACATCTCTTTTTGTCATGTTATGATATCATAGCAACTTCCGGATGTCTTAATAACAGCTGTTCCAGCAGGCTTCCTATTTCAGACGAAGAATGGCATACCGTGTGGTTTTAATCGATTCAATTCCGATACACTGCCCCGTCTTAAACACCGGTGGGGTGACGGCCCTAAGGGGTTACCTCACGTTAAAAAAAATGGTGTCTTATTTCCTAAATAAATCAAATCAATTTTGATTTAACATTACTTTTCTAATTCTGGAGTGTTCTCGGCTATAATTCAAGTTTCTTCATCCGTTCTTAGTTCTCATTTCTAAACTTTATGTCTAATTAAGATTTTTTTGTAGAAAATTCGAACACAACAGTGTCCCCGCCACGTGCTACCGTGACGTCATCGCCTTCTAACGTCACGAGCAGTGACGTCACGACCGCTGCTCCGAACTCGACGACAATACCAACACAATTACCGGAAACTAGTACCAATGTATAATGTATGTATTATTTTATCTTTATTCAATTCCCAATAACGTATTCTTAAACTTCGGTACACCGTAAAGCCGGTGCCGAGTTCTGCCACCGACCCCTTGAACATACAAACATACAATAAGTCCCATAAGTCCTTGTAGGAACGGATTAATAATACGGACCCCTATTCCTCCCAAGGGTGTCGTTAGAGCCGACTGAGGGAGCAAACTACGCAGGAAAACAGCACTACCAATAGAAGGAAAACTTGAAACAAACTCCATACCAACCAGTCTGGCCAGCGTGGTATAGTAGGCCAAAACCTCCTTTCTAAGGAGAGGCCTATGTCCAGCAGTTGAATATTAAAGGCTGTTGATGATGATGATGAAGTCCAATAAGAGATCATTCTTCGTAAAGAAAATGGAAAACATCAAATAGATTCACAAGAAAAATCTAGATGGATTTAGGTTTTTATTAAGATGTATAATGAACAGATCGATGAATGATATTCAAATTATACCAAAACATTTCTTTCTAGGTTTTTTGCTGCCATTCTGATGTATTGGATACTAATAAAGCCTGAGTCATCATAATCATGTTGTTATTTTACAACTGTCAACACTGAAGAAAAAATGGTTAAATGTTGCCAGGCAAATCATTTTGAGTTGCTGTAGCAAAATTATTTCAAACTGTATTTGATATTTTTAGTTATTTTGTAGTTACTTTAATGTTGTTGAGACCTAAGAAGCGAACTAGTCGCCAAACACAAAGGCTTCGTGTTAGCTATTATAAGATATATTTTAGATTGGTTTGTCAAAGAACCATAATTTATTAATTCACAAATTTAGTGAAGATATACCGATTTATTTTTATTTGTATTATGAGGCTACCTTAACCGAGAAAAATAGAACGTTTGGGGTCCGAAAGTGATCCTTTATCGAGGGGTAAAGAAGGACGTACCTCCGAAATACACAATTGATCTTTAATAAATAAAAATATTGTTTCCTTTCGAAGATTTTATGTAACAAATTTATTATAAACATAATAATAAATAACAATAAATATATTATGTACTCCATGTTTACAGTCAGTTCAACTGTAAACATGGAGTACATAATATTTTTCCAAATAATAAATCTAAATCCGAAATAAATAAACAAAGTCAATCTACCAGTTATTGTCGTCCATTTTGCTTCTAAAAGTATCTTAGCCCAAAATAAACAATCTACTCCTGATAAAATATTGTTAGACATAAAATGTCTGTGTACAGATAGAAACCTTTTTAATTGGGCAACTATTTAAAAAAAAATCTACTATTTTTTATTAGCAATATATAATTTTAAACTATTTTTAAATTATTAAAAATAATGTCGCAAATACTTAATATACATAAAATCGGCAAAAAAATGTACTTACTGTGTTTTAAATTCCAAAGTTTTAGGTGTTGCCATTTAAATGTCTAATATTCTTCTGTATAAAATTTAAATTTGATGTTGCCATTCTTAAATGGTTTTAGCAATGTAATTTTAGATCTATATTTAGTATAGGTATGCTAATTGCGCACAAAATGATAGGTAAACAAATGACTAAGATAAAAATATTTCCAAAGGTGAACCAAACTTGAAAAATAAAGGTTAATTCGATTCATACACGCGGGCCGTGTCCTTCTATTAATGAAATACGTGTAAAATTACGTTGGCACGTTAATTTAAGTAGAAATAAGTTATTTGTGCATCCATAAATAAATTTTATGTAAAAAGACGTTTTATGCTAAACTGCACTATTTCAGTTCATTCAAAATTACGAGACGTTGAAATGTTATGAATTAGAAGTTGGCTAAGGAAAGCTATGGCTCTTATTAATTTAAACCTAAAACTACTAAGAATAAAGTTTAAATCTCAACGAATTCAGTTCAAATCAAATGATATTACCTACTTTTACTTTACATTCGACAACTCATGAGAAAAAATCACCTTAAGTTGGACGCAACTTTACTACTTCCAAAGAAAAATGATCGTTCTACACATTCCTTTTTTTATAGTTTGTATGTACAAGGTACAGTCAGCAACAAAAATATTATAAACCTGGGTTATTTTGAAAATTAAGCGGTTATGTTACATATCAGTAATGGAGGCCATGTTCCATTAAAGAAGGGAATGTCACTCTCAAAAACATTTATCAGATTTGCTTTGGTGTTCATGATTCAAAGAAGATATTTGTTGCTGACTGTACCTATTTTATATAATTGTTCCTATTTATTATCTGAAATCACTCGAATTTACAGAATTTTATTTGTTATATTATAAGTATTTGTCTAAAAGTTTATTATAAGTGTTTGCATGTGAAGCTTTATGTTGAATAAATAAATGATATACGACGTTTCGTGTTTTATTAAATAAAACCTTTGTATTCTTAATAAAACCTGTATTTATTTAGGCTTCAGACTGAAGAAACCGTCTACGTAGGTCACACTGGAAGTTTTTAGAATAGAAATAAGAAAACCAGCCGATAAAAAAAAATCGGTGTCACACTTTCTAGCGGTAAAATGGCATCACACGGAATTGATTCACATCAAAGAAATGTACGAAATTTTACGCTCATAAAAAAGAACGTGTGCGTCTCGGGACAGCCGACAGAAGTTATTACTTAATCTAAAATTGTTTAACTTGAGAAAAGCTTAGGTTATTACTTAAATTTCATGGAAAGCGTATGTCCGAAATGCCTGCCTACCGCTGCCGTATGCGTGAGAGAAACGGAACCAGACAAACTGGCGTCGTAACGCGTTACGTAACGAAGCGGTTTACCCTCCCATAAGAAGTTATCACTTCAAAAATGTACTACAAAGACTTACGAGAAAACAACGATCAAATTGTCACCGCTAGGAAGCACACTTAGTGACCATTTATTTCACTATATAGCAATTGAGTTTTTGACTTTCTTATAAATTTATATGGTAGTAGTAGCTGGTACCCGCGATTTATTTCGCGTGGAATTTGAAAAGCGCTGCCTTAGTGGATTCGACTCCCGGACCGGGCAAAATTCTAATGGGTTTTCTTGAGAGAAAGAATAGACTAAGTTACTCCTTATACAGACAGCTACCTGGTAGTATAATTTTATCAAAATCAGTCTGGCTGTTTAGAAGATTACCCGACACAAGGACACAGAAAAAAAATAGAACTTATTTTTAGGCACAGGTATCGTGCAAATAACCGTGTAAATATGAAAAAAACCGAATGTTTTGATATAACAAACAGACACTTCAATTATATTTATTAATATAGATATAACATTTGAATGTAATATGTATGGTTTGATCAAGTACCTACAAACATAAATAAATACAACACCTGGATTCAATTAACTAGAATATTAGTTCCTACTACAAAGTTAACATAGTGAAATTAAATAACTTGACGGGGCTGTTGGTCAAGTGTTTAGTGACCCTGACTGCTAATCCGGAGGTCGTGGGTTCGATTCCCACTCAGAACAAGTATTTGTGAAATGAGCACGATCGCTTGTTCTGTGTCTGGGTGTAATTTATCTATAACTAGCTGACCCGGCGAACTCTGTTCCGCCTTTAAGGCAATAAACAAGCCGATTTTCGAATTTAGTAACTTAATTTATTTCTTAGAAAAAAAAATGAAGTACATTAATCATTTATTATAGTTTCTGCATTTCAGTACATAGGTTGCTCTTCACTTAAGTACCTTGTGATACACGACATTTTTTCTTTTCTTATCAGGCGCAAAAACAAACAACGCAGATGGTCTTCCGACCAATACTCAACGTTGCAATGTGTCTTGAACGTTTTAGAAATAAGTGGCGAATATGGAACAATCCAACTGTTGTCGACAACGAAATCCATTCTTTTCACTTTTTAACCGACTTCTGTTGTGACAGTTCCACCGTTGTCATCTGGTGATCAACGCCGATACAAAAAAAAAACGGAATAAATAGTATCCTATGTCCGTCTCCTGGCTCTAAGCTACCACCTCACCAATTTTCAGCCATATCGGTAAAGCCGTTCTTGAGTTATAAATAGTGTAACTAACACGACTTTCTTTTATATATATAGATATGTATGTATTTAGAAATATATTAGAATGTTTATCAGCAGACTGGTTACCATAGTACAGTCTCTACCTAGTTTGGGATCAGACAGCCATGTGTGAGATGTGTGAAAAAAAAGAAAATATCACCCCCTAGAAAGTATGCTTCCTAGTAGTGACAATTTGATGATTGTTGTTAATTGCGTACATTTTTGATGTGATTCTGAATTCCATACGATGCCATGTCACCACCAGAAAGTATGACACAAAGAACAATGGCGGGTCTCCATACAAAAAAATATTTGGAATCAAATTGCATCGTCTTGTAGTGAAAAAAATATTAAAAAACTCGGCAATTTTTTTAGAATCTACGTAAAAAACAATTTTTGTATGGAAAAGGGTAGGAAAAAAGATATTGGCATTTAATGTTTTCAGTTACGCGCTGCATCTATGGACTGTCTTTAAAAGAGTCCATAGATAAAGTCTTTTATAACATAGCTAGGTACTTAATGTTTAATTTATTTTATTAATTTGTCTATGGCTATCGACTTTACATAACTTTTTGAAAATTATAACTGTATAATATGTACCATTTAAATAAAAAAAATCGGTTGTCTGTAAAGTCGGTTTACTGACGATAGTTGAACGTGACAACGTCATAAGAAAATACTGATGGAATGGTTGCATTTTACGAAAACATGTAAATGTATTATTGTATAACAGCTGTCCACGCGGACGCATCGCTCACTCAAGTAGGAGAGAGAGAGATGTCAAACGCTGCCGAAGGCGGAGGCCGATTGTGCCTCTTTGTCGCTCGTTGCGCGCTCTCGCTTGCACTTCAATCCTTAAATGGAACGCCTCAGAGCGAGGTAACGCCGCATGAGTCATGTTTTTTCGTGCGTGCAGCCGGCTCCATCGAATTATAAGACGTTGTCACGTCAAAAAAAGAAAATAAAGAATTATTATAGTTCACTAGCTGTAGAACTTTCGTAGGTTATATTTCTATGTCACTTTTAATGTGTCTGATGCATGAAATAATCATCTTATACATAAGCATATTTATTTAATTGGAATATAATTGGATATAATGACTTAATATTACTTAATATTAATTACATGAGTATAATTGGATATTATATAATATCCAATAAGTATATTCCTTTTCTTTAATTTATTACCTATTTCAACATGTAATGAATTGTAAATTCAAAACCTAAACTAATATAATCGGCGGCGGCCATTCGTGTCAGACCTTTAGTCTTTATTTTTAAACACAGAGCGCAAACATCTGTAAAGAGTTGTCAAAAAACCATTGCTTTTTTTTGTTGCCACTTTATTTATTTTTTCTACCTTATATTCCACTACAGGATTTTCAAATTCGTGAACAATGCGTTTAATAACGCACCACAAACTATATTATTTATTGATTCAGTACTTAGAATTATGAAACTATTATCTGATTCTATCTATCAACCTCAGCCTATGCTTGTCCACTGCTGGACATAGGCCTCTCCCAATTATTTCCAGCGGGGACGGTTGATTGATTACCATATTACTATTAAGTGATTACCATATTATGATACTTTATTGAACAGTATTTCCACTACATGAAAAAAATGTCTATAAAATGGTAACACTAAACTGATAAAGGAAATTAAAACAATCAAATAAGCTTATAATATTTTTCTTTCTTTTCCTGGGGTATTACTGACTTAGGTGATAGTTTCAAAAAACGTAGATATTTACTAGAATTAGTTTCCTGTGAATGACATTTTAAGACGCTTAAATTATACTCAACTACGAATTCGCCATTGTTCTTTCGAATTAGGAACTCTGAAAATCTGGACACATTAAATGATTTCATTTATTATTTGTTTTCACAAATTGGCGACACTTTAAAAAGTGTCTGCCTAGCGGTGACTTCGATTGGCATTTGATTACGAAGCATATCTCAGACTGGTTTGCGTATATGTAATAATAACAACAGAATCATCAATCAGCCTTTAATCTTCCACTCCTGGACTCTCCTTAGAAAGGACGTTTTGGCCTACTGTACCACGCTGGCCAGTGAGTATAGGGTTTGTTTCAATCTTTCCTTCTCTTTGCAGTGCAGTGTCTTGCGTATTTTGCTCCCTTAGTCGGTTCTTACGACACCCACTGTAAGTATAAATAGGGGTGGCGACACCTCGTATTCTTAATTTTTGTTTTTTTTTATGGCAGAGGGGGCCAATCCGTCGCCAAACGGACAATATATACGACATAAAGGAAAGGTAAAAGCAAACGAATCGCTGACAGTATTTTGTAACATATTTTAGGAAACGTACCTAAACTACATGACCTCAATTCGCGATTTAACTGGGGACTACAAATGTAGGTCATGCAAATATTCTTCAGTTTTCAGAATAATAATGCCGTGAACTGTATTATACTGATATCTCTCCTCACTCCTAATAATGCATACTTCAATGATCTTCGTCTGTAGGGATCATTTTTTTTGTAAGTAGAATTCAGTATAGTACATCATCATCATCAACAGCCTTTAATAGTCCACTGCTATACATAAGCCTCTCCTTAGAAAGGAGGTATAGTACAATACAACATATATTTGTTTAAAAACTCTTTTATCCAAACTGGAGATCGCCTGGCAGTCGAATATCTTGTCTTATTCCAGTTACTAATATAACTTGAGCACTCATTGTATAAACTTTATACTGGAATGACATGTACTAAGCCACTATACAGTATACTATATAGTAATTTGTCACTTTATAGCATATATTTTTAAATAAATTAGCTTTCTGCATTTCTTTTACAGGTATACATTAAGTATTACAAATAAGATTCGCTTCCACGACCCATAAATGTATGTTTAAAGAGGGACAGTTTAAAAAAGATACAAAGAGTTTTCTTCCATTCAATCATCTGCATAATATGATTTCAATTCACTGTATGTTTTATCGCCTGTACAGTAGGTTGGGATTTGAATAGTATGAGATAAGGGCGATTTCTACCTTTTAATATTGCGTTACTTGCCACCGGAGGGGACAAAGGGTGTTCACCCTCACACTTCAATTTTGACAGCACATGAAATACTAACAAAACGAACATTGAGTTATATATAGATAATAACTTACCACATCTGACACAGCCGTCTGGTCCCAAATTAAGCAGAGTTTGTATTATAGAGTAACCAGAAGGCCATTTCTCGTAATAACAGTTCGGTCATAATTCAGTTCCGATCAAGTTTCGATCTCACAACTGTCATTAAAGATATTTTCGTAGTAAAGTATTAATCATCCAACGTTGAATGTGATCATATCATATTGTGATAGAAAATTGAATCGATAATCTGCTAGTCTTAGTAATACTTTACTAATTTACTACGAAAATACCTTTTATGATAGTTGTGAGATCGAGAGTTGATCGCAACTGAATTTTGATCGAATTTTTATTATGAAAAATGGCCTTCTGACGGCTCATGAACGTACATATTATTATGTCTATACATTAATACGTAACAAAAGTTCTTTTTATCCCTTTCCATACAAATAGATATGGCGCACGGGAGCTTGTTGCATTTAAAATACTGAATATTTATTATGTTAAAGAAGTGCAAACAGCTATAATTATTAAACAATACGGTTAAATACAAGTTTAATATGAGATAAAACGACAAAATAAAGCTATAGGTAGGTATCCAGTATATCGTTGTATATATTTACCGATTCACACGATTATATTATTGCTGTGGGAATAAAACCCGTGACTTCTGATTCAGCTGTCACGATCAACAACCAATGGACCAGTCAGAAATAAAAAAAACTGATGTTTTGATAGTACGGAAGTTCGTTTGTCAGTTTTGCTTGAAAGCGAGATGCCTTGACAAGGATCTGGTACTATCGTTAAACAGACGATTAGCTACTCTTACAGTGATGACAATGTTTTATGGGAAGTAACTTGTAATCGTATTAACAATAAGAAATAGTGAGTTCTAAAAGATGTATTGGAGAGTTTCAGGTATAAACGATCACCTCTACTTTGTGTTACACGTCGTTACTACGACCACGTCACCATATCAAAGTGTGAAGGGAACCCTTTGTACTCTTCCTAAGGAGGAATACGCAGATGAATGCCTGCAGACACATTTACACATACAAAAAGTTGTAATGAGTGGAATTCGAACTTTACCACCTTTAAATAATAAAGTGAACGTCTCTTTTTTTTAAACTTAGTGTATTCTTGTGTTCTTCGTGAATTATCAATCGTAGGTAAATAAATTGACCTGGATACGATATAACATAACTTGACCTAAATAGGGTTCTTCTCAGCTCTACCTATGCAGGTAGATATTAGGTCACAGGTAAATTAGGTCGTAGATCTGACATCTGGGACACCGACCTCAATTCAGTGCAGGAACGACCCATTTAATACAGGTTCGATACAGATGCAATTGCGCAGTACTGAACTCCCCAGGCAGAATACTGAATCTAGAACAATATATCATGACCCTTTAGGACACGAATCTATGCGCTGACACTCAGTCGCAGGCAGGCTGCACTCAAGGGCGCATCCTATTCTGAGTCATTAAGTTTTCAGTGGCAATTATGATTAAAAATAACGTGAAACGTAAGAGGAATATGATAAATAGTGTATTGGTTCGGTTTTAATTATTAAACGTGATTTTGAATTCAAATTTTTACCAATTTTTATACTCAAACTTGTCTTTCATATTACTCGCTAGGTGGAGCTACTAAGCCTGGATTTTCAATAAATTTTCTAGAAGTTTCTTTTGTATTTTAACTAATTTGTTGTATATTAATTAAACGAATATAAATGTATTGGAGAATCTTAAAATACCTACATTTTCTAGTGTTCGTACATAGTATTTAGCAAAGAATCTGTAGACATTTAATGGTAATGACAGATAATAAAAACTACCAAACTTGAATTTTATACCAACCTATTTAACTAATAGTGTACTTTAACCAATATGTTTAATAAACCTATATAATAACCATATTTATCAACATATTGCCATTTGTATGTTTTGTGGAGCACTTAATGCTCAGTGATTTTCCCTCTCTATCATTTGAAATGGCAGCCCCGCGGGAAAATCAATAATTTGCTTGTAAACAAGCCATAGCCAAATGTAGGACAAACAAAACTTATTGTAACGATTTTTATATTAGACTATTATTGTTTTGTGTAATAATTTTAAATCTCGCTGATTACTTTGTTTTATAGTGATTGTAGCTATTAATAAAAAGAAAATGGATACCGCAAATGTGGGATATTCGTATCACTTGCCTACGGGCGGCTGGAATTACAAAATTCGTAATACACTGACACAATTCAGTGATTTGTTCAGCGAATTTAATAAATATATCGCTCCGGCATATCATCATGATCGCTGTGAAAGGTAACTGCCCTATTTTTTTAATGTACTTTTTTTTATTGTGTCTATTGTTCATAAACAGACATTATCACAGCTGTGTTCTGCCAATGAAAATATTGTTTTTTTTTTACAGATCGGTTCCTATGAGGATTTATTCAATGCACAAAGGGGAGTTCGTGATGGTGTTCATTGCGTTTTTCGCATTATTCGGATTGGGAGTCTTTATAGGGCTTGCAGGTACATTTAATTCAATAATATGTAATTATGTGTTTAATTTTTTTTATACCACTACTTTTGGATTTGTTGTTTGTTGTCGTTGTAAATAAAAAAAAAACACTTATATTTTTGGTAGATAGTATATACTACTGTTAAATTAGGAAATAGTTACGTGTGTTTGTCCCAGTTATCAAAATAATCATCTGAATAAGACCTTAAAAGTTTAGGTGGTTTTTTATTATTTGTGTGTAAGGGTGGACTGCACTTGAGCCGCTCCTGTTGGCTACTCTACCAGATATCGGCGTCATTGTTTATGAACTTTCATGCTGTTATTATAGTTGGCGCGCAAAAAAGCCAAAATAAAATAAATTAGTTAATGCTATTGTAAATCACGAAACAAAGAAGAAAAAAAATATTTTTAAACGAAATCAGTTCTTTGTTGAAAGGTAATCATCCTTTTCAGTTGGAGGAAGCTAATATTATTAAAAAGTTCCTAACCTAGTCATATAGCCACTAAACTACTTGCCGACATTAGACGGCCAATTTTCGGTGTGGTAATAATAATTACAAATAACCATTGTATCAGAGGAAAGAAAATAAATGCGCTATATTTTTGTTTTAAAAATGGAGCAGGCCTTATTTTTTTATACATAACAGCAGATGTAAATAAAAGGTTGAATATAAAAAAGTGCGATAATAACATTCCCACCCTATCCTTCCCGTATCCTACAACGGTGATTCAGATATTATTTAAAATGATTTTTGCCAAGAAACAATGACTCTCTGATCTTTATATCTACAAGACATGAACTAATAAACTTTTAAAAATAAAAAACTTGAGTCGAGGCGTACTTTTATTATTGCCAGAAAATAATAATTTAAAGAAACTTAAACATTCAGAAGTTGTTAAGTATTTTAACGTGAACACTCTTAAATTATCTTAATTTTATTCCCGAAATTTTATTCTCAAAATGACTGGCTGATGCGCTGACCGCCTAACGCCACAATAATTTAAAAATAACTATACATTTGTTACTTAACTAGATGGCACGCCCACGTCACAAAAGTACCTTGTGATTGATTATTTTATTTTTCAAATAATTACTATTAATTTATCATTTTACAGTATTTTTAATTAATTGGGTGCCTTTTTCTTAATTAAAAAGCGTTGATTAATAAATTCATAAGAAAGCGCGAGATTATTTGCCAACTCAGATAGCGCGCGGTACCCTTTTTTTTCCTTGCGGAAATCCCCTCGGATACCAACTATATCGGTGGCATGTCGGACTCGAACCGACTAAAACCGCACGCCGTCTCGGGTACTAATAGCCGGGGAACCAGGTATACCCCAGAAAGGAAGTCCTTGGTGCAGCGCGCGGTACCCTGGATACGTGTGTTGGGGCGCAGCCCGGCTATGAATTCGTAATTTATAGACGTATCATTTAAATGTTATTTTATTACTACTTTATGTACCAAATTACTTGATGTAACAATGAATAGATTAAATGGTACATTTACAAATATCTTGTTAAAAAAGCAATTGTTTGTGGCTGGGAAGCACCCTATACGTTGCAGCCCGGCCACGTGTTTAATATAGGTGGGATGCGCAGATTTTTCTAGACTTATTTCTTAGCGTCCTACGGATTGACAGCGCGGGTGCCGGGTCCATCGCGTAATAGTCAATTGAAAGGCGTTGAGGTAAAATTTTAACAGGGCTGGTGACCAATCGTATTAAAGTGCGCCATTACAAAGCTGATGGGATACAAAATTCTCCTAGAGTTAACCATTCATTCTGCATTTCTAAGTTCATTGTGTGCACCTTGTAGGTCTTGTTTTCATCTTGTTGTTGGAAAGATTTTGTTATCTCTTTCTGTCGTTTAGCATTTCCCAATCCAACTCTACTGGACTGCTTACCCACTATGAATTTCTAGTGGAATTGGAGCCGTGACTCGAGCTCTGATGATTTTTTGTCTTTTGGAAGGAATCTAACTATTTCCTCTTGTGATTTTAACAAGAAATGCATTTTAGTAACTCTTAGGTGTTTGTAGAGTTCCGAAGGTCTTTTTAATTTCATTTCAAAGTTATTCAGGCTCCTGTACAACGTTGAAGTGTCTGCTGAAGTTGCTTGCCCGAGCCACGACTTCAATGTCTTAGTGACTTTCGCGTCCAGTGTTCTGAAGTGGTTCTAGTTTATACCTTATACCAGAAACTGCCAGTTGAGACGGGATGTTAGGCGGTTGTCGTAAATCCAATCTTTTTTTACGTTACTAATTGGCTGTAGGTTTACCTTGTCAATGTCTTTTATTATTACTATTGCGTTCATAGATGGATACGACCTTTGTAGTCTATCTTTCTTCCAAGGTATTTGAAGAGCACGGTTTCTGATATTATTGAAACACTTTCCCCACCAACAGTAATCCCGGTTTCATTTGAGGTAAATCTGGTACCTCGCCGGCCCAGAGAAAGGCAGGAATTTGCTCGGTTTTGTCCTTATTCCCTCCGTCCAGATACAGAAGTCATCTACCTTACACAGTAGTTCTTGGCACCGCTTCGGGTTACGTGTGAGGATCGCGAGGTCGTGTGTGAATGCTAAGATCGATTCCGTATATTTTTCCCTTGACCTTAAACCGATAGCCCCACCTCTTTTCGTGTCTATTAATATATTTATAACTGTATTAAATACTACTGGTGATAAGCAGCAACCTTGAAGTATGATGCAATTATTTCACAAACTATTGGCGGAAAGTTATACTATTTCAAGGCAAATAACATGAGCTCGTGTCGTACTAATCCAAAGGCGTTCTCTAAAGCTATCCATCAGACTGTCATTTGCATTTCATTTTTCTTCGCATCTTTGAGACTGTCCGCACGTAATGAGTTATTTTCCAGACATCCAGAGATTCCGGAAATGAACCCTTTCTGGTAATTTGGTCTGAAGTAATTATTGTTGGACATAAACTGTATTATTTTTAATTGAGACAGAAGAAAAATATTTTAAAAATTGTATTGGTAAGGGCTATCGGTCTACCGTCCCTGGGTTTCGATCAAACTTCACTGTATGGTTTGCTCTGTTTAATTTGTCAGTTTCGTAAGCAATTTGTACTAATACTCCTTGAATCAACTTAAGTATTGATCTTAAAGCACTGGCCAGTTGGTGGCTCAGGTGGATATCGCCCATGGCTTTGGCATTCCGTAGTCGTTTGACAAAGTCCCTCTTTCTCTTTTTCGCTTTACAGGTCTTAAACTTCTTTTCATTTCGTAGCGTGTTGCGGGTGGGTAGTTCTCATAGAAATACGTAATACAACCGCTCAACACGCGTGTCACGGCGTACTGATGCGCCGCGCTGGTGTATATTTTACGCCCCGCCCGCCTCGGCTTATATTTTGTGGAACCATTCTTTAACCTTAGTTACGTTTCTGGAGAAATTATTATTCGTAGCTCATACTATATTCATCAATAAAAACAACATGATGTTCCACACGTTCATGAGAATTTAAATAGTAAAAGACAACTCAAAGGGTGGTAACACACTTGAGTCTTGAGTTGCATGGACACACTCCATGGGCGATGTTAGTCACTTACCATCAAGTGACCCGTCTGCTTCTTTACCTTTCTTTACGTACGTCTCTAGATTTATAACTACTCACTTTGATGAGTTCGACTCTCTGTCTATCTTACTCATCAACACGAATGGTCATTTTCTGAGTGAGTCACCCCTACAAAATGCTTTCTTCTTGTTTACGCTTAGTATAAATTAACTGTTTCGTTATTCATAATGCGGTTTATATAGAATCCAAAATAGGCTGGAGTAACATCATTGTCTTTACATTATTAAAAAAAAAACAATTGTGACGTCATAAAAGTGAGGTTCCGAATGATTATAGTTAAACCGCCGTAAGCTTGGCCCTCCGGATGGTTTGCGGGACGCGGGGAGGGTGATGCGCTCGGCTATACATGACACGATGTACTAACTCGATATCTTCAGATTTATTTGTTTGAGATTTAATCTACACACGATGTAATAAAAATCGAATTTATTTCCATGTATTATAATGTCAGTGTATTGTAAGTTTTTATGATTAATTGTAAAATTTAATACTGTAAAATAATTTTAATAAAATCACCTTATCTTCATCATGTAAATTATATTCAGATACAATTAAAAAATTAAGTAAAATAATAAATATTCTTTATTAGAACTTTAACAGTAGAACCTCTGTAAGCCGAACTTCAAGTTTTTAAATCTTTTTGTGACGCAGAGTCGGCAGATTATCCATGTTGCAAAATAATACCGTGTGTAGCAGTCTTAAGAAAAATAACACGTACAGCCATGCTTTCACGTCAGTCACTGGCGGCGGACAGCGACGCACTAGCTAATTGGTTGAATGCACCCCCGCCCCGCGTCCCCCAAACCATTAGGAGGGCCAAGCTTACGGCGGTTTAACTATAAAATCATTGTTTGAAAGACGTCTTGTTGAGTCTGTATCAAAGTATGCCATTGATTGTACTTTTTTAATTAATTACCCGTATAAAACCTTTTACTTTTAGGTCCGTCCCCAACAATGACTACGTCAATGTCCGCATCTAGTGTCTTGACGAACTCAAGCACCATGTACCAGGGTCCATTTCATCTGCATAGCCCAGCGTTGGGCACCCAAGCCCAGCAACTGTGGCTCTTCGCAGAAATACTCACAAATAATGATGATGGTAGGTACATCACTTAATTCACTGCAAATATACAAAGTAGAAAGACAGGGTATTATTTCACTAGTTTCTTGTCTGGGCTCACGATTCCTCTGAAGAAATTGAAATTGTAATAATAATAATATTTTCACACATCACACACACGGCCTCCTGATTCCAAACTAGGCAGAGCCTATACTATGGTAACCAGACTGCTGATGAACATACTTATATATTCCTTAATACATACATATTATAGATAAATTACACCCAGACACAGAACAAATGACCGTGCTCATCACACAATTAGCTGTCCTGGGTGGGAATCGAACCCACGACCTCTGGAGTAGCAGTCAGGGTCACTAACCACTAGACCAACAGGCCAGGTCAATTATAACTAATCATTATAATTAAAGCACGTAGTACTGTATTCATACTTCACACTATCACAACCAATGAGTCAAGATTTGAAAACAATCGTAAACCACACAGCTGAAAGTATTTACACAAATAAGAATAATGTGACACGTATCTACAATATATACATACATGATTAAAAACTGAGCCGTGCGCCGCGGGAACTTTGGCAGAATTGAAACTCCCGAATGTTTTTTTATCTCAAGAAAACCCTGTAGATTTTGCACGGCCCGTTAATCGATCCCACTAAGTCAGCTTTTTTCAAATTCCACACGAACGAAGTCGTGGGTACCAGCTAGTATTAAATAAAAAGATAAAAATATTTACACAGTCAAAATATTAAATGAAAAATAAAGTGTAATGTATTCTATCTCATTCTCTCGCCGACTTAATCCAATACATTTGTTTCTTTATCGTGACGCATTTTCGTTTCATCGAGTTTGAAATCGCAACGATTCTAAACAAACTTCACTTTAAAAAATAGTGTAAAACATTAGCTTTCAAGACAATAATAAATATAACACAATTAGAGATATAGCCACACTGCACATGTTACATATACTAAAATAAAAATACTTCTGTTTACAGACGAGATATTCGACAAGCGCTTCCAAATCAGTATTTCAATTGAAGGTGTACTGGCCGACCATACCACTACCGAAATAGTGGGTGAAAACGAAGCTCCGAACAGGTAACATTAAACAAATTGTTTTTTTTTAATGGTGTGTAAAGGCAACGAGCAATTTTGGGCAGTTCTCAAGTTGCCCACTTTTTGGATTTTTTTGTAAATTGTGCTCCGATTTTGATTAGTTAAATTTCTGTTTTTTTTTTTTAACGGACGTGAAAATAAAAAGAAAGAAGAACCAACTGAACATGAAGTGCGTTTAAAAGTAAACGAGTGGTTTAAGTTGTCTACATGCTAACAGACGCTTAACACGTTGTCTGAGCATAGCCTTAGAGTCAAAAGTTTAAGAATTACTATGCTTTCACACTGACTCTAACAAGTGCTCCATGAATATTTATTGCGTTTTGTTGCAGGACACAACACTTAACGTGCAAGAAGAGTACATGTGATGAGGTTCTAATCATGCACCTCGGGGTCTTAGAATATACGCACTATGTACTCAATATTAACTTCTACGGGCTTCAGGAGTTCCATAAACGATATGTTATTAGAGATATCATATTCTATGTTAGTATCTTTATAATATTTAATTTGGATAATATTAGCAAAAACATCACGACAACACTTTTCAGCTACACTTCAATTTCATACTTTTGTCTTCTAAATATTACTCTTGTTTTTTTCCAATCATACCCTTTCTTTTTTTCTGTGCGGAAATCCCCTCGTATACCCCTTATCGGTGGCAATGTCGGACTCGAACCGACTAAAACCGCACGCCGTCTCAGGTACCAGTAGTCGGGGAACTAGGTGCACCCTAGAAAGGAAATCCCTGGTGCCCCGACGTACCTCGGGCCATCTATGTAGGGTAGGGTAGACGACCCCTCTGTGTGGGAACCCCATGTTCCCTCTGTGATCCCGGAAGGGTGCACGCGCTTCGCAACGCGCTCGCCCCACCGGCAGGCTGGCTGCTTCTGCTAGGGTGACAGATGGCCTCACCTGTCATCCCCAGGCCTGCGCTTATGGAGGACGGAGGTCGTTCTGTGACCTCCGGCGCCTGAGTCGTCTTTCCAATCATGCCATAAACAAGTATCGCAACTTTACTCACCAGCAGAAATACTGCACCACAATCTTCTTCTATTCTCTTGTTAAAAAGAAAAGTAAAAAAGGAGGTTCTTGCCAATCTGTACAATGCCAATCTGCACCTTGTTCTTATTGGCACAATCTGCCAATAAGAACATGGTGTAAACTACCTTTCTAAAGAAATTGGAGAATCTTTCTAGTACAAACCAATTAAATCAGACATCTGTTTGATTCGAAGAACGAAGAATCACCTGAACATGAAGTGCGTCTAAAAGTAGACGAGACGACGATCGTTTGTTCTGTGTCTGGGTGTAATATATCTTTAATATGTATGTATTTAGAAATATATAAGTATGTTTATCAGCAGTCTGGTTACCATAGTACAGGCTCTGCCTAGTTTGGTATCAGACGGCCGTGTGTGAGATGTGTGAGGTTATTTTTATAATTATTTATTTTCCACAATCAAATCTGATAAGAATATTTTTACGATTGCTTCAAGTTGAGGCATTTGAAACTAATGGAATATTCCAGAAATATCCAGGCATTTCAAAATGTTTCATGGCATCAGTGAGCCAAGTTATTACAAGATTTTTTATGAAAGCTTACAAAACCTGTCCACGGAAAAGTATCCGTCGCAATACGATATTGACTCGTTCTAGTACTGCGGTACAACTAGAACGTGCGAAACAAGAGTAAAGAGTAGCATAAAATACAATAGAAGCTATCAATGGGAAACGTTGTTAACACCTGATTATTGTCGAAAACAATTGTAATTAATTCAAATTGTGGGTATTTTGTCTGGCCAACGTGGTATAGTAGGCCAAAACCTCCTTTCTAAGGAGAGGCTTATGTCTAGCAATGGACTATTAAAGGCCGTTGATGTGATTTTGTAGGTATCAGGTTATTAGTAGTGTAACAATATTGTTAAACTTCTTGTACCGGCTAATTAAATGTCTCGAAAACTTTTTTGTACGTCGAACGCCAAGAAACAACAGTATGAACTTATTTTGTTATAATAAAATATATATATAAATATATAATAATAATATACATATATCACACATCTCACACACGGCCGTCTGCACCCAAACTAGGCAGAGCCTGTACTATGGTAACCAGACTGCTGATAAACATACTTATATATATTTAAATACCTACATATTATAGATAAATTACACCCAGACACAGAACAAATGACCGTGCTCATCACACAACATTTGTCCTAGGTGGGAATCAAACCCGCGACCTCAGGTTTAGCAGTCAGGGTCACTAACCACTAGACCAACAGGCCCGTCAACCTCTATACTCTATTTTATACACTTGTAGCTCTAAAACGTAACATCTAATGTTTTTGTTCCAGTTCAAGACGTATAATCCAGCTTTCACTCAATTGGAACTGTGGTTCAGATTTATATTCGTTCTTACGACATTTTCTGTGACGGTGAGTTTCTGATCAAAACCATTAAATATTATTGTCATCTGAGACTATTTCTATACCTAAAGTAAAACCTATATCGTAATAGGTACAGCACCGGCTGCTTAGTTAAGCTTCTTCCCTAAATAATGTCAATTCTTGGAATTGACAATTTGAAGAGATATTAACCCTTGCGGCACTATCAATTAGACAGCAATGCTCTAAGCAAGTTCTTTTTGTACTAACATTTATGAAGAGTTCAGAATCAGACCCATAAAACATTTAACGTAAACGTTTAACGGCAAACTGTTTCCAATTTTAACAAGTCTTACTAATAGCAGAAAACCAAATATATTCACATCGACCATCCAGCAACCCTTTTTTTGTTAATAAATCACATCGATAATAGTGGGAAACTGCAACTAAATATTTGCTCCCTAAAATGTCTTGTGGCAAAAAAAAAACTATTAAGAACAAGTAACCTATAAGTTTTTATCGATATTTAAACTTTAAACGTGTATTTTTTATCAATTTCAGTTTTCATTCTTCTATGCGTTGAGAAGATATCACTTAACAGACTGGTCCCTTGAACAGAAATGGATCAGCTTTTTACTGCCGTCCCTCCTCATGGCCAACGGTTTGTGTGTTACACCATATAACTAAATTTGAGGGCGTTAAAATCGCTCACCTTGACTTTTTTCAGTTTAGGCAGTTTTTTATCATAAATATGAATTGAACAAAATATGCTAATTAAAGCTATATTTCAGTGCCTTTCTAATAATATAAAACAACTGTGTATATACCAAAAAAACTCAACACGTAAAATTACTAGATTAAAAAAAGCGTGAATAAACCTGAGGTGTGCGAATTTTATTGCTCTCAAGTGTACATATTGTTGCCGATTAAGGTTAGTAGGTTCAGCTTTCCTCTCGCTCTCCTGCAATAATCATTTCGTGAAAATGAGGTGTAAATTCTAAAACAAGAAAAACATCATAAAAAACAGAACAAAAATATTACCTTTTAAATTTTGAATATAGTCTAATAATAGACAATCTTACTGTTATTATAATTCGACATTAATGCTAACGAAAGCGCGGTAAAAATATTTATTAAATATTCTAATTTTAAACTCTACATTTTTTTTTTCAGACCCAATGTACCCGCTGCGATTATTTGCCGCGAACTACTTCGCAACAATGATGAGTGACATGAATATGATCCTGCTCATCTGTTCGATTCTGCTCTCGTGGTTAGCCCAGTACCATGGACTTCGACAGGTGAGTACAGGGGACTGTTTGTTTTGTTTAATGTTATACTTTAAAAAGAAATGTCTTTTATGTCCTATTACAAACCATCAATACATACAAACTTACTTACATCAAACATAGGTACTGTAACGATTACGCCAGTGTCGCAAATAAAGCAGTTTTGTAGGCTGTTTCTTCATTTTTTTTCAACACAAAGTTATAATCTTCTGACCCAGCAAAGTGATCATGCCTAACGGTTGAAGTTGGGAACATGCATATTATACGAGTACTTTTCGGTAACTAAGTGAACTTTTATAGTGTGATGCAGGATTAGTAGTAATTCCGTAGTTCGACGTGTCTTCGTTAGATGGCGTTGAAGTATATTTTTTATTGTATGTGAAAATAGAAAGAGAATTAACTGACACCAAATTCCTCCTGATTTTTTATTGCATTTTTTCAAATTAATCTAACTCATCGACCTATAAAAAGGACTCCACATCTAATTCCGGGAAAGCTAGTTTATCTGCGACTTATTTTAATTGGTTGAAATCGATTTCCACCGGTATCAATGTCTCATTGTATTGAAAGAAAATAAAGCTGTTTCAGTTCATTACAAGTCATTGTTACAGAGGAAGTCTGTATAACCTTAGAATGAGTGCAAAATTAACGCATTCAAAGGATTTGCTTTTGAAGTACCTTCCAAAATCTATGCCAAAGTTTCCAAATATTTATATGGGTATAAATTTTAATGTGATCAATATCTATAACAAACTCATAAAATGCACCAGCCGTAGACACAGGCTGTAACCAAGCCCAGTGCAACCTGGTAGAAGCTTCAGGCAATTTGTTTTAATCTCGTTAATTCTCGTATATATAAACTTTTATCTTTCCTATCTAGTATAGAAGAATCTACCGTAAATTATTTAAGGGTTAAATACTAAGTAATGGCAACCTCGACTTGTAACGAATATACTTCGGGCTCTCTAAAGATTAGACGAACAATTTCAAGAACTACTGCATCTGCATCGCGCAGTGAAAGTTTTCATCCCTGCAAGCCTGATCGGACAACCTAAGGGGTCAATTCATAGCGTTAGAGCTCAAGAAGGGAATGGAATAAAAGAAATCTCACCTTATCTCATGTAGTTGAGATGGATAGTATCGGAAAACATCACAGAAAATCTTCTTGAACGACCACCTTTTTTTTTTAACGTGTGGAAACCGGACCGTCACCCCGCCGGGGTTCTCTGTTCGGCGAGGCGGTGTGTCGGACTCGAAGCGACTAAAACCACACGGTGTGCCTCGGTCTAGGGCAATCCGCATCCATCGTGAAACATAGCACCTGAGCATCTGTGTGCTGGCGATAATTATTTATATTGGCTTAATCAGAGCAATATTGAAGGAGCAGACGATTTTACTGAAAATCCTACTAATCACTCTTGAAACCCCCTATTTCACCAGAAGGGTTTGAATATCCCCTAATTCCTTTATTTTAATGGGAGGTCATATATATTTTAACAAATAGTTTTCCTATTTCAGAATGACAGAAACTACATGAGCTTCTACTTGACGAAATATTTCTTGGTGTCCCTGCTGATGGTGCCGGCCTTGGTCCTCTCCTACTGGCAGAAGTGTGTCGGAATATTGGACCCCACCTACAACTATATGATGAATCCAGCGTACCCTGTAAGTTTCTTGTATTATTATGTTAGGTTAACCGCGCAAATTCCTCTCCGACTCTGAAAAGAAATAAATTTTCCCTGTTTTTGCAAAAATTTTATGGACTCTCGGCTCTTATTGGCCTTATTGGTTCTTATTGAGATAAAAACTGTCCTATTTTAATAGGCTAAATTTGAAAGAATCTCGAAGAGACCTGGACTCGTATGGGTATGTCCTGTGATTTGAGAGGCTAGAAGGGCAGGGACACCAACTGACTAGTAATAGGAATGCTAATAAATTAAGAGGAATATTCTGTGGTTACAATTATTTTAACTCACGAAGGCACCCAGACAGAAGGGGGTTATCTACACGCCGTAGATGGCCCGAGGTACGTCGAGGTACCAGGGATTGCCTTGCTAGGGTACCCTTAATTCCCCGGCAACTGGTATACGAGACGGCGCGGCGGCGCGCAGTTTTTGTGGATGGTTCGAGTCCGACATAACCATCCGAACAGTGGGTAGTTGTAGAAAAAAAAAAGAGTGGCAACGGCCGGCAGAAACGGAGAGAGCCCATATAATTATATTGCATAAAAATGTCCTGTAGTATAGTCTTATCAATGTATACCACGTTTTAAGAATATAACGATATCAAATTCTTGGCATTGAATTTTGTTGAATTTTAATTTTGTTTACGTGGTTTGTGGAATATTTAATTTCCTGCGATTGCCAAACCTGACTAATGGAGTGATGATGTCATAAAGTGACAAATTATATCTAAAGTACCTATTGAATCAAGTTCTGTATATATATTCATTTATTAATAAGTACTACTACATCATACATATTATACTTATAATCATCATCATCATCAACAACAGCCTATACTAGTCCACTGCTGGACATAGGCCTCTCCTTAGAAAGGAGGTTTTGGCCTACTATGCCACGCTGGCCAGACGGGTTGGTATAGGGTTTGTTTCAAGTTTTCCTTCTCTTTGATACTTATAATAAATTTTGATAATACAATGTGGCATTATACCTGATATGTATGACAATTACGGTGTAGCATTTACTGTAATAGTCTAAAAATAGTAAACTAATAACAATCAAAACAAAGAGAAGTATACAGAATAATAATAAACTATTTGAATTAAAACCACATTAAATCTATTTATATCTAATTAACAGGGGTTGAGGTTAATGGACACAAAACATTTGTTACTTTAGTTTGAAACTCATTAAACGATTGGATAAAGATGTCAATGTCTGGATCACGAGTTTGTATACTATTATATTGGTTAAGGACTCTATTTCTGGGTGAATGTTGGCGTAAATTAGTTCCTGAAAATTGTGAGTGGAATATTTTAGTTATTTTTTGTCTGGGATAGGAGTGAAAAATATTCAAAGATATTTTTTGTAATAGATAAATTTATGAAGAAAACAAAGCTCAAAAATGCGTCTTCGATTAGAAAGAGCAGAAAGAGTGTTGTTAAACTTGGATAGCCGTTGATCATACGGGCTCCTATGAGAAAAACCACTGCAAGAGTAGGCAAGGTTTCTGGTAAAGGCTCCTTGAATGCTTTCAATTCTTTGGGAATGAACAGCGTACATGGTGACCATATAGTACTAGGAAATTCGAAAATGTTTTGGCGCAGTGGGTTAAAAACACGCTTTGGTCCCGAATTAAGTTCAAAAGTGTAGCTTTCTGTAGCATCTACACGGTGCAAGTAGTTGGAGCGGATTATTTGCTTTAGTACTATGCACAAGTTACTTGCCCGCAACTAATACGTGCTGTTCGCGTGGGTCACATATATGGGTCTTGCTGGTTTCAGATTTTAATAATTCAGTACCGGGATGCTTCAGTACACGGTGTAGTAGCTGGGACAAGTAATAGCGTTAAAATGCCTCGACGAGAATTCTTATGGAATTATTTGTTAAATATGTTTTCTACTAGAGTTAATAAATTAAGCGCGCTATGCAAATCGTACGAGTCGCTTTACCCCCTTAGTCTTTTTCGCGAAGCATGTAACCTGCCCAAGTGTCTTAACATGCGCACGCGCACTTAACATGCATCGTGTAGAAACACCCTTATCATTAACTGACCGCAACGAATTATGATTCGTTCTGAGCCCATCTTGAGAGGTACTAGGTACTAGGTACTAGTAACCTAGTCTAGTACTAGGTACTAGACTAGGTTCCAGTACGAGTTCTAGGATCTGCCTCCTAGGTAATGGTATGATTGGCTTCCCTCGGGCTAGTGCCTAGTTAGGCGCGTCGCAGGTTCTGGGGGACTAAAATCATATGGTCTAGGTCCTCCCCAGAGAGGCGCCTGAGGCGGGGGTGGTTTTTAGTGGAAACACTACATACTACTGGCTCCCGCGTCTTCGAGGAGCTCAAATGCTCGCTTCCAAATGGTATTGTTATGGCAGGTATCATAATAAAATACCATAATTAATGATATTTTAAAGTGAATGGATATAATTTTCAAACAGTGATTAATAAATTTATATTATTTGTTTTTTTGTAAAAAAATTGTTTCTTTGTTTGGAAGTTGCTTAAATACACAAGAACACAAATCGATGTTCTTAACAAAAACAGACCTTTTTTATTTTGTTACAAACGAATGACTAAGTTGTAACAAAGTACCCAGAACTGAAGTCTTAAATAAAACGAAAACGTGTCGACATATGCACGCGTCGGCGCCATTTTGAACAACAATCTAGACTGCATAATGTATCTCGTCCTGCTAAAGCATGACCAAACTCAGCAATCATGCGCAGGCGCAGCTGCAGTGAATCGCCCCAGCTGAGATAGCGTTTGTGCGTCCCTTTCTATTTAATGTGAAAGAAAGAGATAGAAGCAATGCAACACAATATAATTTACAAAGAGTTATGCGCTCCTACAGTAATATGAAATCGTATTTCTTACGTACAATGCAATTGCGTTTGTTGACAGCACTTTTCTGAGTATATTCTAGTAGCCATTTATGTTGGCATTTTAGCCTTTTGAGTTAGTATTATGAAACAAAGTGGTTGAAAATAAAGAAAATAAACATTGGATTTTTATTTGTTTGTTAATAACAGACAATGCAATGAAATTTTATATGAAAAATCATTGAGACAATGATATTAATTTTCTCTCTCGGACTCTTTATGCTTCGCTAATAAAATTCATGCCTGCCTCAGAGGCTCAAAATTATATGAAAATCTTGGCAAAATCCCCCTAAGAATTAGTATTTTTTTTAATTCTTGGTTCTGCCTGATTTGATTTGAATTATGTAGTTTAAATCCACACAGTTGCCCACCGACAACCCCTTTTTTTTTCCGTGCGGAAATCCCCTCGGATACCACCGGTGGCATATCGGACTCGAGCCGACTAAAACCGCACGCCGTCTCGGGTGCTAATAGCCGGGGAACCAGGTATACCCTAGAAAGGAAGTCCCTGGTGCGCCCACCGACAACCCCTAACATGTAGATACAGCAAGAACTTTAAATGAGTTGGTACATTTATGAAGGTAACTTTCATAGGTTTATTTTTTCGCATTTTACAGAAATTTCACTTTTTTTTTGTTCTGCTGATCGCAAAATTGTAAGTTTTCCCCTTTTTTTCCGTGCCGAAATCCCCTCGGAGACCACCTATCGGTGGCATGTCGGACTCGAACCGACTAAAACCGTACGCCGTCTCGGGTACTAATAGCCGGGGAACCAGGTATACCCTACAAAGGAAGTCCCTGGTGCCCCCACATACCTTGGGCCATCTACAGACGAGTAAATGACCCCCCCCCCCCCCGTGTGGGAACTCCATGTTCCCTCTGCGCCCTGGAAGCGAGCGCGCTTCGCAACTCGCTCGCCGCCACCCCGGCTTGCTTCTGCTAGGGTGACAGATGGCATCACATGTCATCCCCAGGCCTGCGCTTATGGAGGACGGAAGTCGTTCTGCGACCACCGGCGTCTGAGTCGCCTGCGGTACCTGGCCCGTTCCCGGGCCTGGCGGGCCGGGAGGGTTCTAAACCCGCTCCCGCTCCTTCGCGAGCATAACTTGCTCGCAGAAGGAGACGGCAGAGTTCCACGCACTCTCGCTCCGCACGATAGCCGCAATCAGGCTATCGAGCGAGAGAACTCCCACTCCGATGGCCGCCACGAGGTCTCGCCTCTGCTCAACCCACGCCGGGCACTCTGCCAGCGTGTGGAGAGCCGTGTCCACGGTCTGGCCATCGCAGTGGTGGCACTCAGGCGTTGGCTCCTTGCGGATCAGACACAGGTGATCCCCGAAACATCCTTTTCCAGTGATCACCTGCGTCAATCGGTATGAGAGGGTTCCGTGACGCCTCTCGAGCCAATCCTCCATAACGGGTCTTACCGCCGCGATGACGGCGTGCCCGGCGCTAGGTTGTCCGAGTCGTTCCCTCAACTCCCCTATGATGACCGTGCGGAGTTGGGATTTCCGGTCATCGATTTCTCGAATCTCGGGACACCGACCCAACGCCCGCGCCTCCTTGCGCCACTGATACAGAGCCGCAAGGGCTCTCGCCTCCAGGTCCCACGGTGGAGTTCCGGCCAGAAGACTCGCCGCCTCAAGGGAGATCGTGCCCCGTTATGATCCTGATGGCCAGCACTCGCTGCGGTCGTCGCAGTATCGCGACGTTGCTGGCCTTCAGGGCCCCCGCCCATACTGGGCACCCGTAAAGGGCCATGGACCGCACAACCCCCGAGTAGAGTGTCCCGTAATGGCATAATTGGCGATGTCCAAGGACACCGCCAACACCACTCCGCCCCGGGAAACTGCTTCCTCCGCCAGAGCCTTCACGCGCATGATCGCATCCACGGTGGAGCGCCCCTGACGGAAACCGTACTGGTTTTCCGCCAGATCCGGCCCCACCATCACGAGATGCTTGACGAGGCGCCTTGGAATCACTCTTTCAAAGAGCTTGCACACCTCGTCAAGCAACACTATGGGCCGGTAGGCGGACGGTGAGTCCGCCGAGAGCCCCTCCTTTCGGATGAGGACCAGTTTCCCCGTCTTCCACAATTTCGAAAACTGGCCCCGCTCGAGGCATGCACTGAAGAACCCTCGCAGTCGGGGCTCGAGAGCCTCGTCGACTAAGGCCAGAACCCACGCTCGGCCAGGAATGCCATCGGGTCCCGGGCGGTGTTTTTAGCTTTAAGCCGTAACACCGCCACCCTTAGTTCCACCCCAGTGACCTCAGGCACGTCGTCGTCATCCACGTTAGGCGCTTCAAGCTCCGGAGGCGGCGCCATCTGTGGCGGAGTATACTCCACAACTCGCGTTGGGAACAGGGAGCCAACGACCCTCAAGCAGCTTTGGCTGAAGACACCGGGTGAGCGGCAAAGCCCATGGGCGCATCTTGCCCCAAACCATACGGTAGGTGCGTCCTCACGGATCCCGATCCAGCGTCTCCAGCATCTCGCGGCGGGCCTCGCTCTTGGCCCGCTTTATCGCTGCCTGAAGGGTTCTTTTGGCAACCCTGTACCCCGCTAACAGGTCCGCCTCTCTCGCTGCCGCATCCTCGGGGCGGCGACGCCTCCTGCGGAACCTGGACCACCGGCAGCGCGCGGTCACGCAGGCTTGACGCAGACGTGCGATCTCCGGCGACCACCAGTAGACCTGGCACTTCGCAGTATTGGGCTGAGCCCTAGGCATCGCTGCATCGCAGAAGCGGGTCATGGCCTTCCGGAACCACTGTGCTGCAGCATCGACGTCGACAGGCCTGTCCGGCGCAGGGGCCCAGGCCTGTACGATGGCGGCTTCCAGGAGGAGGTCGCGATCTAAGCGCTTGAGCGCCTAACGTGGTTCAGGTGGTGCCGGTCTAACCGGCGCGCCATCTGTAGGGGCGGAGACGTGAAACCGAATATATCGGTGATCCGAACCTGTCTCCTCCCCGACAACAACGCGCCAGTCTTGGACACGACGCGCTAGCGAGGGGCATGCGAACGAGATGCCCACGATCGAACTACCCCTCGCCGTCGCGAACGTGGCCACGGCCCCCTGGTTTACTAGAACTAGGCCGAATCTTTCAGTCCAGTTCTCCAATGCCCTGCCCCTCGGGTTCGTGCGAAGGGAACCCCAAGCCTGCCACCAGGCGTTGAAGTCACCAAGCACAAGAACCGGGGGCGACAGGCATCGACAACGACGGCCAGCTGAGTGAGCCATTGCTCGTACTCAGTTATGTTTCTGTTCGGCGTGAAATAAGCGGCCACGACCGCTATATCCCCAACCATCGCCGTCCGTATGCAGCCCCGTCCCCTTGCAACCACTGCAAGAGGTGGAGTGCCGGCTGCGGTACCGAGCACCAGTGCCGCCGTGCCGTCCAAGTCAGTCTCCCAGGCAGGCCCGAGAAACCGATGGACATATGGCTCGGCGACAGCGGCGATGTTGATGGACCACTGTACCATGCTCCCATCAGCAGGTCAGCACCCCCACCTTCGCTCCTCACATCATCAGTGGTGGACGCGACCCTCTCCTGTCCCTTCCGTCTCTGACCCTCATCCTCGGCCCCTTCTGGTGCCGCGGTTATGACCGTCACCTTCTTCCGGGCCACCATGGCTTTGGAGAGTCGGCCTCCGCCGCGAGCGCCTCTGCGGCTTGTGCCGACTTTGGGAGCCGTGGCTTCATCGCTCGAGGCCGACTCCAATTGCCTCTTCAGGCCCAGGCGAAGCGAGCAAAAAGTTAGGTCAAAATTCAGTGCCAATCAACTCTCAATCTCGTAACTGTTATAAAAGGTATTTTCGTAGTAAAATAGTAAAGTACTATTGTTGGGGTATTAAAGTTCAGTTTTGCTTGACTATATATGACTAAAATACGTATTTTCACTGCAAGTGCAAATGTTTATTGTAGACTGATGGATCAACGTTTAAACCTTCCTCACATAGGTTTATACATACATATATAATCCAACAACTACTAAGACTAGCAGATTACAGATACCGATACCGATAGCAGATATTTTCGGTTACAATACGATATTATCATATTACAGTCAACGTGGCATGTATAGTACTGTTGCGCCATAGGATTAATTGATTCTTGTGTTGTGTCGGGAGGACAGCGCCATCTAGTATCAAGTGGGGCACAACGCTACGCATTGAGATTATTGTTCTTAATTCCGATACTTGCTTGCCATCTAATCTCGAATATCGGAAGATTTTAGAACTTTCTAGATTCCTTAATATACCTGGTTTTGTCTGGAACATTCCATCGAATCTTTGGGATTAGTCTAGTAATTTCGATAGCACTATAAAAGCGGAGCGTGTTGGCCGTACGAGACAGTATTGTTTTACGACACAGCGACTTAACATCGAAGCCAATTTCTAGTGCAACTAACGAGTTAAATAATGATGTCTTGTTTGTAATAGTGAGTGTTTGTAAATAGAGGGCAATAAAAGTAACCGACAAATTTTATTAATTATATACCCCGCTTGTAACAATACTTTACTACGAAAATATCCTTTATGCAAATTGTGAGATTGAGATTACAAAAATTGGCATTGACAGTAGGTACAAAAAAGTATACTGAATCCAAACTTCCTACTCTTGATATCCGTGAATTCCTACCTATGATGTATCAGCGGCCCTAGTACTCCTCATCAAAACTCATAATACCCGTCAGGTAACTTACAAAGTAGCTTCGACTTCCATATTGACATATTTGATTTAAACTTTTGAGTCTGATTTCATTATTTTAATTGCATAGGAGGCCAAACCAGCAGATAGGCCCCCTGGTGGTTAGTGACAACCGCCGCTTATGGACACCTTGGATTGTGGATTTTTGAGGTTACACCTCGAGAATCAGAAGTGCGTTGCCGCCCTTTGCGGAACCATTTAGTTTATTCATGGCGTCTATGTAAAACAAATGACTGAATTTAAAATTAAAATGACATGGTTTTTAAAATAAAATTTATTTGACTTTCGAAATGCGCGCTAATCCACAGATAACTAAATCTGTAAATGTTGGTATTAAAAACCCTTAAAAAAAAGATACGAAGATTGTTTTGGGCGACAACGATATAATTAAAACTAAAATATTTTGTAAAATTGTGTTCCTTTTACCAGAGGTTCTGTTTGGAATACAATTTATGAAATATTTTAGTTAATTACACAAGATATTTTGCTGAAAATATTTTAGTACACCGAAACACGTAAAAGAAGTACCATAGCGCATAATATATTATGTACATAGATTTTCTGAACTAAGTTTCCATTCAGTAACTGAGAATAATATTGACAGATGTGTTTTAAATTTCGAATATTCGCAATGACTTAAAGAATTAATGTTGTTCTTAATTGCGTTTTGTTTTTGCTTCTGTTTCAGGTCGTGAAAGGCTTGTTCTTCTGTGGTCTCACGATGTACTTCCTGTATTTGATGGTTTTGATTATAAAAGCCTACAGTGATTTGAGGAATATGCCGTTTTTTGGTGAGTCTCAAATACCACCTGTTAACGAGTACTACCTCGTTTTATTTTATGGGAAGGGAAATCCCCTCGGTCCGCTACTCGTCGATTCTCGTGGAGCGGTGTTTCGAAAACGAACTGAGTGACCTACAAGATGTGATAGTGAGCTAAAAATAGGAGATATCTATGCATAGTTTTAATCCAGATATCCGGTCAGCCTTAGCCTTTCTGACTCTGATGCAAGTTACGTTTGCATCTCGATGTATTAATACAGATGTAAACAAAAAACTCGAAAATATTCTATAACGGTAGTCTACATGAGCACTTAAATTTAGTTTTGTCAACTTAACAACAAGGCATTAGAAATAAAAACTTAGTCAGTGTCAGTTAGCGTAGCTAGTGAAAAAAGTTTTGTCGAAAAAAACTGATGTAATTATTGCCTTTTCAAGTAAAATGCAAAAAAGTTTCTTTTTGTTATACCTTTTTTTTTTTTTCATTACGAACCGACTAAAACCGTACGCCGTCTCGGGTACTAATAGCCGGGGAACCAGGTATACCCTAGAAAGGAAGTCCCTGGTGCCCCGACATACCTCGGGTCATCTACAGACGAGTAGACGACCCCCCCCCCCCGTGTGGGAACCCCATGTTCCCTGTGCTCCCTGTAAGCGAGCGCGCTTCGCAACGCGCTCGCCGCCACCCCGGCCTGCTTCTGCTAGGGTGACAGATGGCCTCACCTGTCACCCCCAGGCCTGCGCTTATGGAGGACGGAGGTCGTTCTGAGACCTCCGGCGCCTGAGTCGCCTGCGCTACCTGGCCCGTTCCCGGGCCTGGCGGGCCGGGAGAGTCCTAAACCTCTCCCGGTCCCGCTCCGCCGTCTCCTTCGCGAGCATAACTTGTTCGCAGAAGGAGACGGCAGAGTTCCACGCACTCTCGCTCCGCACGATAGCCGCAATCAGGCTATCGAGCGAGAGAACTCCCACTCCGATAGCCGCCACGAGGTCTCGCCTCTGCTCAACCCACGCCGGGCACTCTGCCAGCGTGTGGAGAGCCGTGTCCACGGTCTGGCCATCGCAGTGGTGGCACTCAGGCGTTGGCTCCTTGCGGATCAGACACAGGTGATCCCCGAAACATCCTTTACCAGTGATCACCTGCGTCAGTCGGTATGAGAGGGTCCCGTGACGCCTCTCGAGCCAATCCTCCATAACGGGTCTTACCGCCGCGATGACGGCGTGCCCGATTTTTGTTACACCTGTAATTAATAAACAATTTGATTCAAAAACTAGGCAGTTTAAACAAAGTAACTCTTTGTCTACTTGAAAAAATGTGTTGATTAATTTAATTTTAGGCTAAATCTAATTCCCAATCCTATATAATTAACAAAATGTAATCACGTTACAGACATCCGACTGCGTTGTTTGTCAATAGTGGTGGGCACAGTCATATTCATCATGACTTTGCTGTCGATACAAGGATGGGGTGTGGCAGGTCTACAGGACCACTGGGCTAGTCAACCCAAGGTTCATTATGACACCTCTGCACCGTTCATGGCCATGATGGGACTGTTCAACTTCAAAATATACATACTGGCTTATTTGTTCTCACCCGGAGGAGGCGCTGTCCACGGTAAGACAAAAATCACGTACTGTATTCTCTCAGCTTTCAAATTATTGCGTTTAGTATTTCATAAATTAATAGTTGCATTAATGGTTTTACGCATATAAAAAAATACGTTTCTGATTTCGTAGGCATAGTTTTCACGTATTTCAAAACGATATTTTTTTTCAGTAATTCATTTATTCATTATCGCGTCAATGAGTTGTTTGCTTATTACAATATAATTATCTAGATACTTAGCTCCGATAACAAAGTTTAATGGTAGTTACACAGTTAATAGAATGACAGAATTGTTCTCTATAGAAATTTAGAGGATATACGATCAGAGGCACTGACGCGACGACAGTGTCGTGACGCGAAAACTGTCGCGACGACAGTGTCGAGACGCGAAAACTGTCGCGACGATAGTGTCGAGACGCGAAAACTGTCGCGACGATAGTGTCGAGACGCGAAAACTGTCGCGACGATAGTGTCGAGACGCGAAAACTGTCGCGACGACAGTGTCGTAACGCGAATACTGACGCGCCGTATTTTACTTTATATATATATTATATATATAATTGATAGGTTATGTTTGAGTGAAATGTGTAAAAAAAGCGAATACTGTCTTTACAGCTCGATTAGATAACTTATTTACAAATACAAGGTCTTATTATACAATTAAAAAGTAATTTTAAATTTTGTGAAACTACAAACTGCTGGCAACGGTACGGTTTATTTTAGATAGCAACCGACCATTATAGTCTAAGTTTTTCTAATACCTAATCATTTGGTACATTTCTATAGTCACTTGTAAAGAGAAAATAAAATGGATCGGTGTTTTGAAATGTGGACAGTTGATGATTTGATGATACCTTTCGGTAAGCGAGGTGCTCGACGTTCATAGTTCAATCTAGTAAAAGACATGTTGCCAGTTACGATATAGAGTAAAAAAAAAGATTAAAGAAAATATTAGTTGACATTACTTATGGATAGTGATGTGCCGGATCGTTAACAAAGTATATCCGCGGATACGGATCCGAATACGGATATTTGGTGTCAAGATCCGCGGATACGGATACGGATACGGATCTTAAGTTTCTTACTCAATCGGAGCCCGTGACCTTGATAGTTGTCGCCACTTGACGCTTTGCCGTTGATATTTAAATATTTCATTATTTTAATAAGCTAATACAAAGATGTTTGATTGATCTCATTATAAAGATAGCTCTTACAGTACCTACGACCTGCCTAGTTGATTAAGTATAGTACGATAAATGATTGCAATACAAAGGTGCCAAATATTTGTTTTAAGAAATAAAAAGTAATCTGAACAGAATTCAATAGTTTTTCATAGCTACCTAATAACCATTATTCAGGGTTATTTTAAAAATACTGAAAACCTCTGAAGTGCATATTAGTAACATTATAAACAACAACTTTTCTTCTGGACTAACACCGAAAACGAAAGAAAAAAATTGTTTCTCCATACAAACTAACAACATTTGATTGGTCATTTAAATGGAGGACCAATTTTTTTTTATTTTGACGTTGGCCAGAAAAAAGTAGCTGTTTATAGTGTTACAAACACATACCTAAGAGTTTTACAGTGAATACAAAATCACCTATATAGAATTTCATCTATGTAATATGTATTGAAAGATCCGCCAAAAAAGTCACGGATACGGATACGGTTACGGATCTCTCTTCTCCCTTGGATATCCGCGGATACGGTTACGGATACGGATATCCGGCACATCACTACTTATGGAACGCTTTATTTGTTAGTCACACCGAAATTTTTTGAAAACCGTATATTGTAGAAAATATTTTTTTTAAAGTAGTAACATAAAACATTGAAATGAATGTAATAGGAAGCGCCGTCACTAAAAAAAAAAACAAAAAAAAAGGTTCCTTTTTATAAATTGCTGTTAGTTTTGTAATTTTATGCCTTAAAAGTACATCTGTATTCGTAATTTTAATATTTTGTTTATGATGGCATCTTTAGCCAATGACCAGATCCGTAAAATCTCTGTTATAAACGTATATGAAATTAACTATAACACTGAAATAATTAAATATTATTATTTCGTATTCTTGACGATCCAAAGATTATAGATGTTTAAATTGAGTAATTGGTAAGTAGGCACTTAATTTCCATGTGTGATGAAAATTATTGCTTCTTAAAATATATTATATATTTATTGACTTTAGAGAGAGACCAGGATTTATACACAAAACCAGTCCAATACGTAGGAAATGTAAGTACACAGTTGTTGTAGTTAAGTTTCAGCTACCTCACTTCTGTTCTAGTTCCGCTGCTCTCAACGAAAAGGCAAACTGCCAAAAAGGTTAAATGTACTAAATGTACTTGTAAATCTTGTAAAGCAATTGCGGGAGACAAGAATGAATTAGTCATTGTATACGTCATACCTTCAAAATAGGTACCTGTTCTTTTTCTAAATCTGCTACCAACAGTGCATGTTACAAAAAAAAAGTTGTTTAATTTCTGGTGTCGACTGAACGCCGTGAGGTGCAGTCTTTATCATTGGCACATAATTTTGCAGAGTTCCTTAGCTTTCTTAATTATACACCTACAGATTACAACCCAGACGTGGTCACTGCATCCCACGACATTTGAATTCGTCGACTGGCAGAAACTTTTAATTATTTCCTGTTCTAAATGTACTTATGTTATGGTTTGTAGACGATTGTAGGAGCTGTCACAGTTTTATTCATCCCTAACCTGATCCTTCTCTGACTCAATCCTCTAGTATTTTTTCCAATAAAATTCTGTTGTATTGACTGTTCTTCAATCTTTATTTCATGAGTAAATAATACCCGAATGTACGTTACTATTCCACAGATACATGTAAAATGCAGAAAAATATTATAATCTGTTGTTTCAGATATGGCAATAACCAAAGACAACCCAGCTTTCTCAATGATCAACGATTCAGACGAAGAAGTTATTTACGGTTCTGACGAGGAAAGTCGTCGCCCACTCAACTCTCATCATAGAATTACTACTGACGAAGATATATGAATAATCAACTATAACTCTCTGTACCTATTTTCTCTAAATGTAATTTTTTCTTGTTATAAAACTCTAACAATGTCCAGTTGCCGTTTTGTTTAAAATTTCGACATTCCTTTTATAACCACTTAGATATTTTAAGACTTAAATTTACGTGTGCATTGTGAATGTAGGTAGAGCTAGTATGTTGGATAATCTTTGTAGTCATTAGTCATTCATCATCATCATTAGATTCTATAGTAGCTACACCAGCTACACTGTATCACCCAAAGGTCGACTGGAAGAAAATGCCTTTGGCGATAAGTCCGCCTTGTGCATTTGCAGAAAGTATTAAAATAAATAAATGGAGTGTCACAGTATAAAACTAACAGAGTCCCAAGTGCGAGTTTATTTCACATCGACTCGCTCTCGACGGTTAGCGCGTTTAGCGTTGCGATTGGTGGAGATTTCAGTACGGGTCAATCGTAAAGACGATAGCGGAAGTGAAATAAACTCGCACTTGGCCCTCAGACCAATTATTGCGCTGGCGCAAATCTATACTGATGTGCGTGCAAATCTGCTGGTGTGAATGCAAATCTATCCTAGTGTGCGTGCTAATGAAGCGTTTACAACGACAAAACAAGTAACACACACAGCGACAGCGGACAGAAACTCAGTGGTCAACCGTTGGACAGTTTTTTCGATACTAAGAGCTATGACAATCTAAAATAACCATCTAAACCTGCTGATGATTTTAATGTTTTACAATCCTACACTATGATATTTAATTCCACACAATACTGTGTACAATTTTAACCTCAAAAGTAAAGTTTAAGTAGCTAGACCAAACATGATTGGACTTGAATTTAATATAACACTTAATGAATGGCGATATTGTTTTTTTTGGTTTATGTCTGTAAGTATATCTGTTGTTCTATTCATAGCAAAAATATAGGTATAATTGTTAGTTTAATTCTGACTTCACTGCATGAAGTTCTAATGGTTTTTGTTCCCGTCTGCTAAGTGGTCGTGGGCTTAATTCCCACCCAGGAAAATTCATTGTAGTAAGCACGATTGTTCTGTGTCTAGGTGCAATTTATATATGATATAAATTATTTCGAAAAAAATCGGTATGTTTATCAGAAGTCTGGTTACCATAGTACAGGTTTTAAAAAATAAATAAAAAGTACAGGTTCTGTCTAATTTAGGATCGAACGACTGTGTATTTAATATCTGTCAAGTTTTTGAAATTATTATATTCGCGTTTTTTAGACACGTAACAATTCGTAATAAAATGGAATATTTTTTATTAAGATTACAGGGTTAAGTGCTCGTAGGATTGACATTTTGAACATCACACTTGTCACACCATTACAAACATATAGCCCGCTGCACAACTTTAGAATCATGGATATATGTATATATATAGCTATTAGAAAATAACATTGAAGAAGGAACTCCATGATTTCAATTTCACCCATAACTCAATTTAGGTAGGTACATTATAGCTCATAGAAAGCACAGTGGCGCATAACAAAAACTTCTTCTACCTGCAGAGGGTGCTTTTGTATATCAGGCAAAAACTTTTTCCATTTGGACGAGCCTGCCATCCTTTGCATGCGCCTTTAAAAACCTTTTTCTATGCAACGGGTCGTCATGTGAATGAGCTCTGTTATATTATTCACAAATACATTTGTATTTTGTCTGGTGAGGGGCTGTGTGCCCACGCTTCACAGACGAGAGCATTGGCCGGCGCTCGTCCTAACGACATACTATGAATTCACATCAGTCTTTGCTTCGATATTACATCTGTAGGACGTTTGGATAACGCACTAAAAATTAATAAACGCTAGACACGATAAATAAACTAAATTATTTGCTACAATCTTGATTATTATATTATTACCTATCCAGAAATCGACATCAAGTTGTGCAATAAATGACAACTTCGGTAAGTATGTACTCGTATGTAGTACGTAAATATTTAATTTACCTGCACACCAACTTAAATACATAGACAAATATATCAGTATTGTTATTTTTGTTACAATTGCAATGCAAAGTTATGAACACCCAGCACGACTGCACTGGATCTACCAGGATACTCAGCAAGTTTTGCGAAAATCAGTTTTAATGAATGGAACAAAATTTTAATCCCAATTTCTTTAATATTTGGAGCCAATACTTTCCGAGATCAAAGTAGTATAAATGCCGATTCAATCCATCAGTCTGTTGCACTCAACCACTGCGCCATACTGCTCAAAGTGTCTCTATCCCGGCTATCTTCTTCAGGTCGTCAATCGATTTGGCTATGGGCCATCCTAACTTCTGTTTACCTGGCTTCAACGGTCGTAGGTTCTCTGGTAGATGTAGCCTTCCCATTGCTACTTCAGCATGCTTATTATAATTCTAAGACTATATTATTTGGTTTGGCCTTTGGTTTTTTATCGAGAACTCAAAGCGAGCTATGCTTGGCTTGCTCCATAGCCCGCTGCGCAACTTTAGGATTATGGATAAGCTATTAGTGTCCACATCTTGGCACTACCAAATGCTTACCTAAAGTGTTCATTGCTGTTAGCGGCATGACATCGGATATGGGATTTCGCGGGCTGACACTTCACTTGCGCCTGTCGCTCGCTACAAGAGACTTTCTGGGCCGCACACCCATCGAACTTCTAAGCTACTTTCCTACATTCTTGATTTGACAGCGTGGTACTTCTTTTATGTCCTAAACTAGAAAATCTAAAATAAAATAATAAATATTGGAGCGATAAGGCCGTCCTTTGTACCTACATTATTTCTGCTTTATATTAATGCTTTAAAACCCTGGTGTACAAATAAAGTAGTATCTACCTATCTAGATATTTTTACTGTCGGCTGATGCGCTAGCTGTGTTTGAGCAAGCTCTAGAGAAAGCTTCTAAGACGCGTAAAACTTCACATAAGTAGTGGTAAGGAATCATTTGGTAATAAAAGAAAAATAGAGTCCGCAAAGTTTACCGAGTTGCCCACGTTCAAGTATTTATTCAATTTACCTATTCAAGTTATACTGGAAACCTAATTTATCATTTTGCTTTGGAGCAGTATATTCCTATACTAGTGGGTAGGTACTTAATACTTATAGTATAGATTACTTACATATAGAATGAAAGGCATATCTGTAAATATACTCGTATGTATATTAATAGGCAAAAATTAACTTCGGATTTTTGCCTAGTAATAAAGTCTTTGAAGAACCTAACTTGGAAATATGTGCAACAAAAAAATATACCTATTTCTCTTAACAATAAGAACTTTTATCGTCAATAAGTTTACCTTAGATAAAATCATTTTTTTCGAACCAAATACCATGAGTTTCCATTATCTTATTGACTTAACATTTTAACAGTCATTAAGTAGTCATTAGTAGAAACATCTACCATTTTGACATACCGTTCAGACAAATTCTAATAATAAGTATAAGTCAATAACCACTAACGGCCAACTTGGTAAGTGTATACCTTTGTATGTATCTAGATACTGATAATATCAGCTTGTTCGACTCGACTGGTCCTCACCCACATAATGTTACATTGTATAGGTACAAAATTATATGTAGGTGGTGCAGAGCTATCAATGAGGCAAGACAGAAGAATGTTTTAATGCTACCTGCATTTCATCATACGCTTATAAGAATTAGTCAAGGTAGCAGAATCATCATATGTTTCGATTGTGCCACATCCAAATGTCTTTGTAAATTGAAAATTGATTTTGCTTTTGTTACACTTGAGGAATTTTTGAAATGTTTAAAAGAGTTGGCAATACTGCCTACTTAGATTAGGTATGACTGTATTCATTCCACTGTGCTTTGGTATGGTTGAGGGCTTGAGGCTTTAGTGTATAGGTAGGTACACAGATTTTTGCAGACTTCTTGCGGGCTGATTATACAAAGCATTGTTAAAGATTGTTACTGTTTATTAGTAAAATCAAGTAGTTTACTTACCACGCTACTTCATACGAATAAACTGTATATTTTATGCTTATAAAAAACGATTTTATACTTTCTTTCACATTCTTCAGACTTGTTTACTCATTGTATCGGCAAACTCGAATCAGACTACGCCGTGAATCGTTGCAGGTACATATATAAGTATATATAGAATGAAATTGTCTCATAGAATGTTCTAGAGCTTTCGTGATTTTTCCAGAAGAATCTTGTAACAAACCAACAAATTTGACTAAAGCTTTCCATCATACTGACGGGAAGGTTTTACATCATAGGACGTTACTGAATGTTCAAACTGTTTCTGGAATATTCGACCGCATGTCTGAATTTGGTGCAAAGGCAACGGCTTTTTTATGTTTTTTTCTATGGGTACTTTGAAATCTGTCATATAGTCTCAGAAACTAGCGCATTTGAATTAACAAAAAAATTCGTGTGCGTTACGATTTACGAGTTATCCAAACAAAAAAATCTTGGCCAAAAATTTGTCAAAATCGAAGTGAACCAAAATTTGTCAAAGTAGAAATAAAGAAGTTATAAGGGTTTTAAGTAAGCAGCGCGAACGTACCGTAAAGGATTGCGCCGATTGCACGCCCATGGAGATGTCAGCAACTAAAGTTAGAAATCTAATAATTTTTCGTCACTTGAGGACTGCATTGGTCAAAAGAGGGATTATAAGCTATATAGATTAATATTTTAATAAATATTTACCTTGGAAATTATGGAAGCGCAGTCATTATGTTTGGATAACGTGGCGGATCAATCGCAACGCACACAAATATTAGGCTTAATCTAAGAATCGTGGCCCCACGGTTCCCGTCCAACGCATATCATACGAGCGCCGTGTAGAAATTGGAGAACCAGTCTTTCACTTGGTCGGTTCCATATGAACGATATGGACCGACCTATGAGCACTTAACCCTAGTGTTAGGGTTAAGTGCTCGCATTAGTTTGGCCAGCCGCGAGGGGGCGGCGTCCGCGTGTGCCGGACGTCGCCTAAAGAGAGGAAAAATATACTGAGACGGAGCCCGCACCAGGAGCGGGCTGGC